GTATTTGGTGGGCGAGGCGGAAACAAGGGTCGTCGGCTCAGGGGGAAAGGATGGCAAAAGTGCAAATGACTGGCCATTTTTTTGTCAGGGCCGCCTGCCCGTGTGTGCCCTCGGTGCCAGTCTCGAACCCTGGCGCCTATCCCGTTCTCGAGCCGTTGACCCGCTGCGCTTTTGGGTCGTTTTCTATGGGATCTCTCACTCTTTGTCTGTCTCTCCCTTACTCTCTCTATCCCTCTCTCTCTCCCTCTCGCTTTCCCTTGCTACCCGAACAAATCACACGAAATCCCAAGCCCAACTTTCCGAAAAGATACGTTGGGTAGGGCAGTGCCAAGGTGATCTCGGGGATCGTATGAGTCATTTGGTAGAACATAACTCATCGTGAAGCAAGAAAAACTAGAGGTATCGACTCTTGAAAGTCATGATTCATTAAATTTTGACTTTTTTTACAAGAGCTAGTCCACCGTAATCTAGCTTTTGTAGGTTTAAGTAAGAGGCGGAAATTAAATTTTTAAAGATGGCGTGTGAGCAATTTGTCAGCATTTTTGGTTTCCTGTCACGCCACCTTTAAAACGTCACCGGCGCCTAATGACGATAACTTTACGTGCGAAACTGGTAACTTCCGATGTCCTTCGATTACTTTTCGGTCACGCCTAATCAGCAGTCCTTCCTGAAAAAGTTCGTTTTCGAAATGGCGCGGTGGCGGCGAATCCTGGCATTTCGTTGAAACATCGGTGATTTAGGGGTAAAAGGCAAAATTCGCAAATTCGAGCTATTGGAAATGTGGATGCAAATTCGTAAAAACGCTCTCAAAAACGTGGGTTTTCGATAAGTTTTTGAAAAAAAACAGGAAAAGAAATAGAAGAAACCACCGTAACACGTGATTTTCCTAGCGTAATTGGATTTTAGAGGAATCTGGAAAGCAAGAATCCACAAATTTTGAGTTCGATCTTTTGCAAAAAGCCAGCCAAAGCTAAAAAAATGTTTTGGTTTTTTTTTAGGCTGGAAATTTTATCAACATTTTCTCCAAACCTTGAACTAAAATTTTAGGCGTTGCCAAAAGTTAAAAAGTGCGCGAAATTTGACTTCACAGCCCCTTTAAAGAACGCTTCTAGCCCCAGCTTCAACTGCTTATCAGCCCCTCCCTTGGCACCCCCAAAAATTCCACCCGGCTTGACCTTTCTCTGTGCCTTTTTATTAGGGGCATCTCTTCCTGCTGTTTTCCGGGGTGGGTGTCATTTCGGCGTGCCGCGTAGTGCCCGCCGTTGCTTTGCCGTGCCATCCCCATCCGCCCTTGATAATACGGGGCAACCAGGTTTTTCGAAAAACGGCAGAGAGGGTTTGGCTGGGATACTGGGTTGGGTGGCGGGGGCACATAGCAGACCTGAACAAATACTGCCCACCGGTCACTCCACCCCCCTGCCCTGCCCTGTACCGGTCTCGGCACGATCCGGCAACTTTTTTAGTGACCTTCCTCGCGTTTCGAGTTTTTCTCTGGCCTAATTTTAGGGCAAAATTTAGTTCCTGGAGTGTCAAAACGCAAATAAATGCAATTTGGCGCAAATTACCTGAAAACTGGAAATTATGTGCGTAAATTTTTGAATTCTTTTTTTAATTTTCACTCACTCACACTTTGGCCTCTTTGTTGCTCACTCTATTGAACCTGATTTTTCTCGTTCTCTGTCTCTCTCGTCTCTCAATCTCACCCTCGCTCTCTTTCCCGATTATCACCTTCTCACGCTCTCGCCCGGACTCTCTTAAGCTGACTCTCTCTCTCTCAATACCTCTAGCTCATTCTATCTCTCTATCTTTCCGGTCACACTATCTTTCTTTCCCTTGCTCTCTCTATCACTCTTTCTCTTTCTCACTCGCACTATCTCTCCCTCCCTCTCGCTCTATTCCCCATTCTATCTTTTTCTCCTTCGAGTTAAAAACAACAATTCTAAACTGATAGCCCCATATAGATATTGCTATGACCAAATAAATGCTTCCTAGAAGCCAGTTTCCCAAAATTTCTTGGAATCCTGACATTTCCGGAAAGTTACGGCCACCTTCAGAATCCAATTTACCGCTGATAAAAAAACCAGGTGTCATTTGGCCTGGCCCGATCGTACTTGGCTTTTTAGCTTTTTCCCGCAAAAACCCCAAGCTTTGTTGGTGAACGGGGAACTTATCACGCAACCTCGATTTGTTGCCATTCCGCCTCGAGAAATTGGATTTCCGGGGTGTTGGCACGGGCGTGTTTTGAGTGCGCCAATTTCCTGCTACCCCGCGGTCAAGAATCAAAAGTGAATGCTTGGCAAGAGTATTGGCGCGGAACTTATGGCTATTTTTGGCTCTGGTTGTTGCAGAAAATTCGGGTTAAGATGGGTTAAAAATAGCGCAAGGATACGTTAGTTTTTAAACTGGTTCAAGCTGGGTTTTTCTAATTTTTTAACGTTTCTGGACTACGATACTTTCCTCTGTACGCTAAGGTACTGTAAACTATCGTGATATTACGGTAGTTTTGCAGCTGAACGTACAGGAACCTTGTGGGTGTTTTACAGCGTTCGGACCACGCGACTTTCCTCGGTACTGTGTGTGTCCTTCGCGTACTACCGTAACGTAATACCGCATATACCAACTTGCTTTACATATTTAGCTCTGATATGAATTTCCTGGATTCTAGCAACGGAATTACGGCATTATAATACGTACTGACTACGGAACTTTTAGCGGCAACTTAGCAAGTAGTCACGTACTGGCAATTATCGTACCACCCTAACGTGATCACGCATAATTTTAGGGTTGCGTGACGTAGGCTATAGCAAGTTATTTCTCTGGACTACGATACTTGCCACGGAACGCCAACTACTGCACGCTACCGTACTCACTACGGCACTGATTGAGCGTTCACTTTCGGTTCCCATCCCAACCAAAGTTCGCCCATCTACGGAACTCTCGACCACTCTCTCGTGCTCCACATTTCGCCTCCAGCACTTTCACCACCTCGGCTCTTCGGGTCGAAGAAGTAGAAATAGAAGAGTGGAGGGCCGTATTGTATGGGACTGGTCACTTGAAACGTCATTTCACTCTGACCTGCCCGCGCTCCGGTCCACTCCCTCCTTACCGCGCTTCCCTTTTAAGGCTGTGACCCCGCGCGGGGGAGATGCATTGAAAGGCTGAGCCTCAGCTCTGGCGCTCGCTAGCTCTCTCTCACTCGCTCTCTCTCTCTCTCTCTCTCTCTCTCTCTCTCTCTCTCTTTCTCGCTTCTGACTGTCCATCTAGGGCTATTTGTTGTGCCGGATCTTGAGGACGAGCTTTCTCTGGCTCTGGATCTGTCTCTCTTTCGCCCGCTCACTCACTCTCTCGCACTCTCTCTCCTGCCACTAATTCAGCGAAAGCCCTCCTATGGCTCGAGAAAGCTCGTTTCGCCCCCAAGCCTGTATCCAGCCCCCCCCCACGGCCCCCTCACCCAATATTATGCTCTCGAAATCTCGTGCAGTGAGAGTTAGAGAGAGAGAGAGAGAGAGAGAGAGAGAGTGAGTGAGAGAGAAAAGCAGGACAGCTTCACCACTGGCAAACCCGATCCCGAATCTTCGCCAGCTTCTCGGCGGTTCTCGGCGATTCGGAGCAATTCCCGATGGCTCTCCCATGTCGACGACAGTACGCACGACAACACAGAACGGGGCAGGAGAAAGTGGGGGAAGCTGGAGGAGTAGAAGCTGGGGCGGCTAAATGGAACGAGATGAGGAGGAAGTTGTAAAATTAAGGAAAAACAACCGACTATGCTTGACTACCGGTAACGTGGGGACTTAAAAGTGCCTTTAAAGGTGAGCATAAAGATACAGTTTTTCGCAATTGCCAGAATGCCGAAAAACTGAAAGTTACGACATGTGTTTACGTACTGAGGTGCTAGAAGGGTGAGCTGTCCCACTCTGCTGACTCCGCGCCGAGTTGTGGGTGTTACTGGAGCTGAATTTCGAAGTTGGTGCTTAGGATCACGAGGTCGTTATGAAAGTAGCCAAATTCTGCTTGCTAAACTGACTTTCTGGGATCAAAACTACCGTAGTTAAGACCCGTTCGTACCGGTAAGAAACTTATAGCAAAGCCATATCTATTTTTTTTGGAAACTTGACACGACGTTAAGGTACGTTACTATGCTGTTTTGATGCTCGTGGTCAGAATAAATGCAAGGCGGACCCGGTCATTTTTCACGACTACTTCTATGCACCTCGCTGCACTGATCATCAGCTACCCCTCTCAGGCTCCTTGCCCTGATTTTGGCACCGATCAGGCATGATCTATCACCTCTCGAAAGAGAGCAATAGATAGCAAGCGAGCTGAGCATCAAGCCAGCTGGGTGCTCCACCGGGTTCGGAATAGCCGATCGCTGGCTCGGGGGTTGGGGGTGGCCGACCCCCGCCCTCCCGGCATCCTTCACCTACTGACCGGCATTGGCGTGGGGGGAGGGCGAGAGAGAGAGAGAGAGAGAGAGCCTCCTCGCAAACCTGGGGGAAAGCCTGCTTTCGCTCGTGCTCCTGGCGGTGCCCGCTTTCGCTTTTCCGCGCTTCGCCCCCGCCCCCCTGTGGAGCGCCGCCGGTGGTGTCAACCCCGAGATCCCCGTGGAGAGTGACCATTTCTCTTGCTCTCTCTAACTCGCGAAGAAGTATATTCTAAAGCTACCTACAATGTTCCACCCCCACCCCATGCAAATTGGGCTGGGCCCAGAGCGGCCCTCTACCGTACTCTGCCGTGATGGCGGCTCGGCTTTTAGGCCGGATTCCGCTTCCGTACTATCTACACGTACTCCGGAAAATTGCAGCACTTCCACTTTCAGGCAGATTCCGGAAAATTCCGGATCTGTACTATCCACTTGCCCCTCGGAAAATGGCCCTTCAGCCTTCCGGCCAATGGCAGAGACTTCCGGATCGGTACTGACCGCTTTCCGCCCTTTTTCGGACCATTCCGCTTCTGTACTAACTACTATTACTCCTGACAACGGACCCTCGGCTTTCCGGCCAATGTCAACTGACAATTCCGCTTCTGTACTACGCACGCCAGAGCTGCAAAGGAGTCAAAGCCCATCCTCCCAAGCTCATGCTCAATTTGGGGCACAATTCCAATTCCTGGCTCAAAGCCAACAGCCTCAAGATCTCTCCAGGACCTCTGTCCTTTCCTGCAGCGCCCCTACCACGTCTGCAATCAGAATCCAAGCCCCTGGCCACCAGAACCTAGGCCAGCCCATGGCCGGAAGCCCGGCTTCCCCGGCTTCAACGACTTCAACCTCGTCAAGTGCTTCTCATTCCGGGACCATCTCGACGGCCAGCTCCGTGGCTCAGATCTCTCCTGTATACCAGCCGGGCAGCGCTCCGGGTTCCGCTTTTCGCCGTCCGATCCCGCAACGATTGCAGCAGATTCCGCAGTATGGACAGATGCCCCAGCAGCTTCCTGGCTATCAGCCGATGCAGAATCCGGTGAGTTACTTTGGACGAATTTTTGGCGATATTGCACCTCCTGTCGCTGAGTTATAAGCATACCTCTTCGTCCCATCCTATCAAGTTCAATTAAGTTTTTCCGGACGGTTACATTAACTTAATTCACGTATTAATAACATATTTTTCGTAGCTTTCTAAAGCTAATTAAAAAATTCAAATTACGGCCTCGAATTTACGATTATTTATACCATGCATTTGCTTCTCGTTTACCATACATTTTTTGTTTTTGCCAACGCATTAATAAGGCTCAGTTTCTCTCTTTAAAATAATTTTTCAGCCTTATCAATTCAATTTTTGCCCTAAATTGCTGAGCTTGTTGAGCTGCCTTGACCTTAATCTTCCTCCTCCTCTGATTATCATATCTTGTGAAATCCAGAAATTTTGATTTTTTGGCCATTTTCCGAAGTTTCTCTTCGCTAACTCCGACCTTTTTGAACCTTCCTCATGCCAAGACCCCAAATTCGAATCCCCCAGCTCATCGTCCGCTTTTTTCCACGTCCTTTCTTTCGGCTTCGCCCTGCCCGGAAAAAACATCCTTGACCCCAAAGGTTGGCGGGTTGCGGTTGTGGCGATCGGCAAAATGGGATTTCCATCGAAAAGACGTAAAAAGGACAGAAAGACGTAAAGACAGACTGACAGACAAAGTGCCCTCCTCCTCGACCCTTGTGAATTTTTTTGATTTGATGGCCGCGATTGTGGCGGGAAATGGGTGAAAAATTCGAACTTGTCCGGGTAGTGGATCCATCTCCGGAAAAAGACGCCTGAAAGAAGGTGTTTTTGCCAATTTTTCGGGCGGTAATTCATCGGTATCTGCCAACTCGCGCAATCCACCCCCGCCGGGTCATGTGTTTTCCGGCGTCAATTCCCGGGATTTTTCTTGTTTCGGCGGGTAGAAATTTATTGAATTGGTCGATTGATGCCTTGGACAAGTACTCCAGTCGAGCGAAAGTAGCAGTAATTGCGAGAATTGGGTTATGCGCTCTGAAAATCGGCGAATTAGCCGGGAGCGAAAGTAGTTATTTGGTCGGCCGGACTATTGCAGACCTCAAAAAGTACCTTAAGGGTATCATTAAAGCTGTTTTCAATACCTTAAGCCACTTCCAGTCACATACATGTTTGGAAAATTGCTCCAATTTTGTCAATTTTTAGCATGAAAAAGTCAAGCAAAAGCTAAGCCTGTGCCGAAGTCTAAACCCACGTCATTTCCAGTGGCTTCTCGATTTCATCGCTCTGTCTCTCTCACTCTCTCACGCTCTCTCCCTCTCTCTCTTCCCCCCAACTCTCGATCTCGACAACATGATTCAGAAAGCACATAGCCTGAGGACTCGGGGCTGGCCGCTGACCAGCCGGCGGACAAACCGGCTTTGTCGCGCCGGGTTTTCGACTGTTCTCTCTCTCACTCTCTCTCTCTCTCTCTCTCTCTCGCCTCTCGGGCCCGGGGCCAAAACACCGAAATAGCCTAAGGGCAGCAGCCCAACAACAACATCGTGAAATCATCCCGGAATACCGTACCCTAGCCGTGGACTTGGTGCCAGTGCACGCGCCCCTGTTTTGAACGCCCTGGAGTGACCGGTCGTTCCCGAAGCGCGCGCACGATCCGGAATCCGGAATTGCGGGGGTGGGTGTTGCAACGGTGGCGTCACTTTTTGGAATCGGCTTGTTGACCAATAGCCCCGGGAAGGAAACGGGTCCTAGCCGAAAAATAATGAAACTGGGGCTACCGTAATCCTTGTTTTGAAAGGAGCCGAACGTTCCGGAAACCTGATTCTGTGGAGATCTAAAAATCGACCAAAACCTAGCATTTTTTAATGATATTTAATACCGTAACAAATACGGTAGCCAGGATCCAATAACTTTTAAACTAATTTAAAATCTGCGATTGGAATTTCCCTCGCAAATATCTCTTAAGCTTAAAAAACAATTTTGATTCGGAAAAATACGTTTTTAAGCATATTACTGTAGAGAATACCATATATAAGGTACTATAACTGGTTAGCAGTTTAAAAACCCGATCCCTATATTCAAATTCCCCAAAAAAACCCTGCCCCCACCTGCCAACCCCGATCTCGTCAGGACCCACAGCGGTGGTCCTGGGTATCTATCTATCGCCACTGATCGCTATCTCTCTCTCTCTCTCCTTCTCGCTCTCTCTCTCTGTCTCTCTCTCTTTCTCTTTTTTAGAAAGGCCAATATACAATGCCAATGATCCTCCACCTAGGGTTCTCGAGGAGTCAAGGCCGATTGGCGGGGCAGATGCCCTGGGGGCATCTCGTCTAGTAGATGTCTAGCCTCTACCTTCAGCCATATCCACCTCTAGCCCATAGCCCTGAGACCTACAGTGCCACCATCTAGGCCATCGGATCGTCCCGGGCCGACAGTTTGCCCCGAGGTCAATCGCCGCGGATCTGTGGCGCTGACCTGGATTCCTTGGCTGCTTGCGGGCTTTGAGCCGAGGCGGTGGCGGTGATCGGCACGGATTTGAGGTTTCAAAGAAGTGTGGAGTGAAGCGGAAACATAAACCTAAGTTCAAGGCCAGGCTAATACGAAGCCTAAGCCTATGACTAGGCCTAAGCCTAAGACCAAGCTAAAACTAAGCCTAAACGTAGGCCGAAGACTAGGCTAAGCCTAAGCGAAGACTAAGCTAGGCCTGACGGTAAGCCTAAGCTAAGCCTAAGCTCAGCCTAAGCTACACCTAAGACCTAGACCCAAATGAACTTTAAACCAACCCTAAGCTTAAGCAAGGCAAGCTAGCAGAGACCATTTTGACCGCAAAACTCCCATATGACCAATTCAGCTCCCCCAGATCAAAGTCACCTCACCCCTCGGGTGGGGTCACTTACCGTTCAAGGGGGGTTCGGTCGGTTGTGTAGTCGTCGGCTAGTGGGGTGTGCCTCCAGGCGATGGATGGGCAAACACACGGCCAAATAGTCCCTTCTGACCGTCCCGCGACCCCTCCAGGGCCAATGGGACCCGGATTGGGCCTTCTCTCGTCCGGTCAGGCGGTCAGAAGGTGACCACCACTTTGGTTCTGGTTTGGTTGGAACCAGAGAACAGCTTCACGCCGTTGGTGCTGAAAACCAGAGTTTTTCGTCAAATTACCGTCGTTTATAGGTTTTTAAAGGGGCCGGGAAAGAAGGGGGTTTCACGATTGCTTGCCTTCAAGATATCTTTAAACTTAATTTTAGGAAATTCCGGTGACTTTCGTTGAGTTAAAATCTATCTAAAGCTGAAAATAGACGATTATCCCTCTGACTTCCTATTCTCCTACACTGGATATCTCTCGCTATGTCGCTTACTCTCTCGCTCTCTATCGCTCTCTTTCTCTCTTTCACTCTCTCGCTATTTTCTTACCAATATACCAACTTCGAAAGGTCATCCCCGCCTGATTGATGGCATTTTCGGCAACTTTTCCGCCGCATTCAAGTACCCGATGCCAATGGGTCACCTTGGGGCCAGCTATCCCTTAGCGGCTCTCTCTCTCTCTCTCTCTCTCTCTCTGTCTCTCTCTCCTATCCATCCATATCCAATGCCAATGCCACTCGGTCGGCTCCACCTATCCAAAAGTGAGGTCAACTGCCAGGTACCTAACCCTCCCGGTCAGCCACCGCCATCCATTCCCCTGGCCGGCATTTCCCGGTTTCTGTGATGCCATCCCCTCTCGACGCCCGCCATTCTGTCTGTCTGCCATTTCGCGTGTCTTTCTGTCTGTCTGTCTTTTTGTGCATCCATCCTGCCATGTCCGTCTGACCACCAATTGATCGGCCATCCCCTCTCTTTTCAATGCTGACCCACCCGGGCCGATTCTCGAACACGCAAAAATTGAACGAGTTTTTGGGAGCTTGGGAGTAGTTTTCCACAATTTTCTCTGCTAGCCTGTCCTTTTTGACGGGTTTCGGGTTCCTTGTCCTGTCCTTTTATTTTCCGACGTTTATGTACCGACGTTTCGGGATTAGTATTTCCTTAATTTTGTCTGCAAGTTCGTCCGTTTTTGGTACTGAATATCTTTGGAAATCAAAAGCTTCATACCTTCTTTAAATTTCTCTGCAAGTTTTCCGCGGTATTTTAAATTTTCTCTGCTGAAATTTAATTTGGTGGCTGCATCCTCTTTTTTAGTTTTAAAATTACTTTTCGGTTCCCTAAAGCCCACCCAGACTACCGTACCCCACCCACCTTTTTACCCATTCATAGTCCACCCCCAATAGTCACGCGAATAGGACTCCGCTCGGCATTTCGCCCTGCCAAAACATGCGTACCCTTTCGTAGCCCGGGGCACACTTTCGAAATGCCAAAAATAATACCGAAGCGTGCATGTGGAGCGGGTGAATCAGGGTGCCACCGGCGAGTTCGGGAAGGTCAGCGGGTGGCTAGCGGGGTGAGGTATTATTATGGGTTTTTAGCTGTCAGTCGGATTTTTATAGAATTCCACAATAGCGCATAGTACTGTAGCGTAACGTAGCGTCACGTAGCGTAGCGTAGTGTAGTGTAGCGTATCGGGTAACAACTTGGTGTGGCGTAGCGTATCGGTGCCTCGCGTTGCACATAGAATCGAATTGTAGCCAGCAGGCGCGTCCGGTTTTTAGCGTATCGTAGCGTATCGTAGCGTATTTGCCCGCACCGTAGCGCAATAGTGCAACGTACTGTGCTGCATATACCGTAACGTCTTCAACCAAACGCTCAATTGCAACATTTGATCAGTTAACCCATTTGCAAGTGCGCCCCATCAATTCCCACCCCTTTCCGGCCATTTTCCGAAACACTCCGACCTTGGCCTGATACGGTAACGATTCTCGCACGGGACGTTACCAGGGAAAAGTTGCCCTTTTGTGGGCGGCGGCTGGCACGAGCAAGTCAGTCGAGAATCCCCGGCGACACAGGGCTACGAGTCACTCCTCTGTGCCTTTCCCCTCTTTCCCCCGAAGGCGGTTTATTTGCCTACGGTAGCGGGGGGTGAGGAGGCGCCGCGCCGGAAAGGTTTGTCCGCGAGACTCCCGCCCGTCCGTCCGTTCATCCCCGTACACCACACGCATCTCCAAACCTGGGTGCTGGGGCGACAGCTCGGGCCGGCACGAGCCGATGGGTTCGGTGGTCTAAAGGGGTAGCTAAGTTGGACCGAGGATCATTTCGGGTTTTAAATTAGTCAGCGCGAGCCAGAGCGTGAGAGAGAGAGAAAGAGAGAGAGAGAGAGAGAGAGAGAGGGAGGGAGGGAGGGAGAGAGAAAGCGACGAAATCGAGAAAGCTCTGGACGATATTTTACAAGACAATACGACACGGTACGTTCGTGTCCACTGCCGTTCCGAGTAGTGTAGCGTAGCGGAACGCCTTTCAGCCTAGTTACAGTATACTAGCCGACGCGAAGACACCCGTATGGCAGTCTATCCAACGGCTTGCCTTCACAATCCCTTTAAAAACCACAAAACTACCTTAAGCTACAAATTACACCAAATGCCAACGCAGAGAGCGAAGAAGAGGGGAGATTTTCAGGTTGCAAAACAAGTTAGGGTTTCCGAAAAGAGCACTGCTAGCTTGCCTCACAATCTCTTAAAATAAACATGACTAGCTCGCTACCTTTGATTACCGTAGACGCCATTCCTTCCCTGTCAAGTTGCCTTAAAAATCCCCCTCTCCAAGATCGGGTGCCCGTTACGGTAGCGGCATCCAGTTTGCGCAAGTCCAAGCCAGTGAAAGTTTGTCCAAGTTTGGCCAATATCTCCAAACCGCGCGGGGGGACAGTTCTGGGGTGGCACGAGCCGACTCCCGCGCGCGGAGGGCCTTTTTCGCTAGCCGGAGAAAGAGAGAGAGGGAGAGAGAGAGAGAGAGAGAGAGAGAGAGAGAGACCCAAAGTAGGACCCAGTGGGGTCGTGCGCTGCCGGTCCTCTGAGCCCTTCTCCTGCTGTGGTCAGTGTTTGGCGATGGCCTGCGGGCCCAAACCTGGTGGGCCACAGTCCGAGGCGCCGGGGCGGTGTAGATCGTACTAGGCGCCGACGCGCGCCCGCGCCCCCCGGGCACCTCCCCCTGAGGGGATGCTGAGAGAAAGAGAGAAAGAGGAGAAGAAGGCTTACGGGGCGGACAACTCAAATACCGGGACCCTGTCACACCCAACCCCGCCCGAGGGGGCCTCTGCACACGCCCCGCCGACGATCCCGGCCGGCGACCCCTGGGGCCATACAGTTCTACTGGGTGCGCCATTCCGGGAGGTGGCTACCGGGGCTACTTGGCCTTGAACTTACTTTTTCACCGAGTCCACTACTACTTCTTGTACTCCTTGAAAATGTTCGGCACCTTGTTTTCTTAGCTAATTTTCATCGCTTCATCAAGAATTGTCTAGTTCCCAGGTGAACTCCTTGCAGTCGCGCGCTTTGTAGCACACCACCTTTTTCACACTGAATTTTCATTTCTCTGAATAAACGTCCAAACGACTCCTTGAAATCGTGCGCCTATCTCGCTTTTTCCGCAAAATTTTGTACCGGGCCTTGAACATCTTGAAGTCCTGAACTCCATTTTCTATAGCAATTTTTTGGCGTCTTCAAGTCGTGGGCCCGGCGGTCGCTTCTCATAAGCTTCAGGACTCCCTTCTTTGCTCCTCGTTCTGGCAGATTTTCTACCGAACTAAGCGCATCTTCAAGCAGTTCGGTCACAATTCACCACATTTCTTGGAAATTTGTGTGATTTTTAGCTCTATAAATCACAGTTGATTCTCGCCCCCGACTCGAACAGGGTCAACGAACTCTATCCATTCCCAAGATATCAGCTGGCCCAAATATCCGTGATATCCGTTCCAATACCTCCAAGGGCACAGATCCCCTTTCTGCAAAATTCATATCTCTATACTCGGCCCTGGCCGGGGCTGCACGCCGATCGCCCTTGAGCCTCTTCCTCCATACTCGGGATCTGCCCCGGGAATCTCCTCCTCCCTGTCCACTCCCGTACCGAGGCGCCGCGCGTAGTGTTCACCTTCATCTCTCTCGCTCTCTCTCGCCCAATCCCTCTCAAAGTATGCCAAGGCGGGTGGCGCGTAGCGCAGCCTGGCACACAAGATAGGCGGGCGGTGTTGGATGGAAAGAAGAAGAAGGCGAGGGGAGGAAGGCTGCGCGCAAGTGACCCCGGGAACGCCCAGAGGTCGCTGCCACCGCATTCGGACAGTACCTATCGGGATGACCGAGGCTCTCTGCACCGACCGCCATTACTTGGATTGGCTATTACAATTAGATACCTAGGCTAGTAGTACAGTACCCTTAGGATACCTCAATTCTATCGTGGGATTTACCTGTCGTAATTGGTTGTTGTTTTCGAGCGCTCTTAAATTTTCATTCTATTTTTATTATTTTATTATTTTCCGTTGATCTCGTTCATTATATTTTTATCCGTTGAAGTCGATACACTATCTCTTGGATACCTCGATACTACCAGGCTCTTAGGTGTCGTAACTGGTTATGGTTTTTGTCGTAAATTGATCGGATCAATTTTGATACTGATATTTCCTTGCCTCGATTTCTGAAACTTACTAGTTTTCCAAATAAGCCGCGTATAATTACATGGCCTAGTTGGTTCTCGAAATACCTTGTACTGTTCAAACTAAAAAAATAACCTTTTTCTCCTAAAAAACAAAATCACAATTTCACAAATTTGTCGAAATTTTCCGCCTTTTTTCTGTTTTTAATGATCATTACGGGCTTATAGAAATATTTTAGCTTGAAAACAGCTAAATTTAAACATTAGTTAGAATTATTAAATAGATTTTTCAAGATGTGTAAATTTTGAGTTTTTTTCTTAAAATTCCGACATTTTTAAAGCTTTCCTCTCTGCAATTTGCCAACTCCCCTCCCTGCCATTATTGCTCGTATTTACCCAAATTATGCAAATTTAAAGCCCGCAGCGGGCGCATCCTTTTGATCTGCCAATGCGGTTGTGTTGACCCAGCCCCAACAATATATGACCGCCGCAGCCAGGGGGCATCCGGGGTTTATGGCGGAAATGCCGAAAGGTCTGGCATAACAGCAAGACCAAACACCTCGTGCCATTCAAATGTAGTCTCTTTACACTTTCATTGCACGAGTAATGTGGTCCCTTAAAAATACCTTATATAACCTCAATAGTTCCAGATGCTCGCAGTGGAAAAGCCGCCGACGCTCGACATGCTGGACACATCGCAGTTTCACCTTTCACAGCTCATCGCAGCCGCTGCGGCATCGACAAAATGTATTAAGGTATGGGAATTTAAGGTTGTAGCAATATTTCGATATTTTTTAATAGATTAAATGGACCAAGAACCTTGTTTTTGATCAATCAAAAATTGCATAAATTTATTTTCTTGTTGTTTTCGATTTTTTCGATTTTTAGCGAGAAAATCTGAATTTACTGAATCAAATTTTTCTATGTCTAAGAACACATTAGTATCATAATTAATATAAACGATAAGGTACGGGGAAGCCTGAATTTTGTATGATTGGCTACAAAAAGTTTTAGTTGTCGGCATAGATTTTTTTGAATTCTGAATCTTTCTAGGACATCTCCTTCGTCCGCTACAACTCGGAAATCCCGCAGATCGTCACCTCGTTCAAGGGATACCAAAAGCTGATGTTCCGCGGCCACCGCTACAACATCTACCAAGTGCTCCCCGAGCGCAATTTCAAGTCGTGGCGCTGCGTGTGCGCGAAGAAGATGAGCGACACCGGCGCGTGGTGCAAATGCCGAGCGGAAACGACGATGGACGACAAGAATGCTGTCACCAAGGGCGAGCACAACCATCCGCCAAAGCACGTTACTGCTGAGCTGGAGTTTATCAAGGTGAGCACGAGTTTTTGGGAGTACCTACGGTCTTAACAAATACTTTTTAAACGCTGTATACTTTATTGCATACCTTAGACAGCTATTCAAGGTTTTGAGCTAGGATTTCTCAATATCGGGAACGTTTTAAAGTGAGCATGACATCTACAAACGGCCGTTTTTGCCTTTTTTTAGCTCGAGTGAACTTTTCCGATGAGAAACAAATTCCGTACAGTACGCTACACTCCCATTGGCACCTTTTCACTCTTCAATTCCCCCGAAAACCCCAATCTCCCCTCAAAATCTTCCAGGTGGTGCCAAAACCGCCGCCTCGATTTATCTCGTTCGCTTAAGGGGAGGTAGCGGTGGGCCCGTGGTCAAAACAGTACCCACGTTCCCTTTAAAGGGCGCTCTTTATCTCTGCCCCTCCCTCTCTCTCTCTCTCTCTCTCCCTCTCTCTCTCTCTATCGCTTTGTACCTGCCTGCGGTGTAGTGACCACAGCCCTAATGGGCAGTCCCCCCACAACCACCGGGGTCATGCCCTTGGAGATGATGGTAGATAAGCGGTGCCAAGGAGCCATTGACTGGTCAGGGGAGGCGATTAGGAGCTAGAGCGAGAGAGAGAGAGAGAGAGAGAGAGAGGAGAGAGAGAGAGAGAGGGGGCAACTGTGTTTGGCAAGGTTGCGGTTTGAAATTTGGGGGTACTTGGTACCTGAAAACTTTTGAAAAGATCAAGTTCGGTAATTTTTTGAACCGGAAATTTTGCGCTGTTTGAGCCGCTTTCCTAAGAAGTCACTGCTAGCTTGCCCTCGCAAAAAAAACTTTTGAAAGTATTCAGGGGCTTTTAAATTCGTAAATATAACGGTTTGCCTAGAGAACCTAGGATACCTAACCATCTCTTCTAACCATTCTAGGACTTATAAAAACAAAAAAAAATTGCTAAACTCTTAAGAATCTCTGCTTGCAAGCCTTTTTGGCCACTTATGGTAAGTGGCTAACCAATTATGCCACCAAATTCGACTCAGTTCGACCAATTTTTAAGCAAAAAGTGACACATCCTTTTAATCCTCGCCTCCTGAAGAGTGCTACTTTGTAAATTTATTTCTTCTGAATTGTGGTTTCCCAACTTTTGGAGGGTTATGGCGGGGGGGGGGCTGCTACCTGGCGCGTCGACGAGCCGAACGGGGTCAGCCCATGGCAAAGGCGCGAAACTGGGGCAGCGCCAAGGCCACCGTGGCGCATGGCACCAGCCACCGCCCGCCCCGACGCTCGCCGATTCTACAGAAGGATCGGGCGGATGGATGGACGGAGAGTGACCACAAATGGGCGATAGTTTTCCCTCTCTCTCTCTCTCTTTCTCGCTCTCCCTCTCTCCTCCCTCGCACCTAACCGCGATACACGCCAATAAAGTTTGGAGAAGTCGTGAGGAATCGGGGGTTGAGTTGAAAATTAGGCGTAAAAATCTTAAAAACAGGCCTTCTAGAGGGAAATAAGCAAAATACCGACAAAAAAAATGTCGATAAGTAAAATACCGACAAAAGATATCGATAACCTTAATAGGGACATTAAAAATGCCGTCATACGCACACTTGGATTGACACGTTTTTGCCTATTGGATGTCGGCGTTTTTTCTGGTCGAGATTTGGGGTTCGGCATGCGATTTGTCGGTATTCTTATGTCGACATTTTAACTTCTAGAAAGCTTCTTGTCGACATTATCAAAAGACGCTAGAAAAACGTCTAGAAAACCTTGATCATCCTCTCCTTTTCAGTCCCAGCTCTACATGGCCGCCCTCGAGAACCCCCACCTCGACGTCGGAGATCTCGTCAACGAGGCGTGCAACTACCTCTCTGAAGGCGTCCACTTTGAGAACAAGGAGGGCCTCAAGAAGAGCCTCAACCTAGCCAGAAGCCGCGTCGGCAAGCCGAAGAAGCCGAGGAACAGGCAGATGATGGGCAACGTCGGGCAGAAGCGGAAGTTGCCGGGCAGTGATGGGGAGTGCGAGGAGGAGGACTGGACTCACGCTGGATTGAGCATGGGAATGAGCCCTCAGGAATCGGCTATTATTCACAATGTGCTGAATCTGAAGATGCCCAAGGTTGAGAAGGAGGTTGGTTTTTGGCGTTTAGCTTGCTCTCTCTCACTCTCACGCGGTCTTTCTCTATCTCCTCTCTCGTCTGATAGCGTTACGAAGTCGTTCTCAACATCATGCTCATGTTTCAGCCCGAAAACCCACTCCTCCGGCTCACCTCCCCCCTCTTCGAGCCGTCCAACCCGCTGTCGATGGTCAAAGTTGATGGTGCCTTCCGCCAGAAGCAGCCGACCATGCCGAAGATGCCCTCTCCAACTACCCATTTGGGGCATCAGGAGAATCCGCTGTTCCCCAACAACAACGGAATGTAAGTTGTTGTTCTGCGTAGTTGGAAGCCTAAAAGCCTCTAAAGGGGCAGTGACACCTAGTCTCAACCTCCTTAACTCCCAATTTTCAGTCTGAGCACCGACGCGACCGCACTCTACATGATGTACGCCCAGCTGGCCACCGCCAACAAGATGGACAGCGGCTTGGATTGGCTGGCGGCTGTTCAGCAACTGAATGCCCTGAATATGCACAAGGACCCGCTGAAGGAGCTGATGACGCCCAAGAACTCGCCGAAAAACACCCCGCTCGTCGCCGAGACGTCCACCTCCCCGTCGGTGGTCCATGTGGCAGCTACTCCCTCCCCATCCGCCTCGACCACCTCCACGTCGACGTCGTCGATGGCCAGCAAGGAGATGAGCACTCAGGTGTGTATTTTAGACTTTTCTTGTGAATGATTCTAAAAAATTAGAACAATTGGTCCGAGCTTTAAAAGCACTTGAAATTCCGCTCAACTCCAAATTACGCCCTGGAAAACATTGATAACGATTTACTACAATTTTTGGCTTTTGGAACAGCTGAGGCCCATAGTAGCCCTTAAAGTCCCAGAAATTCCACTACAGTCCACTTTACACCACTTGAACTTTCCCCCAAAATCCGTAGCATCCCGTAGTGAAATCCCCCGGCTTGGGGTCGCCCCATTTTCACCTCGCCCACCCCGAGCTGCCCGAACACAAAAAGCGCAAAAGTGGTCAGCCAGCCGACCCGAGGGCTCGAGTCGCGAAAAAAGGCTGAAAGCGGTGGCCGGTTTGTGAGGGGGGCTTCCCTGCATTTACTCGCTCTCCCTCGCTTTCGATTTCTCTAGCCGGGCTCTCGGAAAGGAGCTCGAGGTCCGGCTCGAGACCAGCTCGGGAGCGAGGAAGAGTTCGGTGAAAATGGAAGATAGGAAAGCCGTAACAGCTAATCCTACTTGGCGATTAGGGGACGGGTTTTCTTGATCTAGGAAGTGGTTTTTAGGAAAGCCATTAGTGGATCAAAAAAGTCACTTAGCTCAGGCCAGGCTCAGGCTTGGGTCAGGCTTAGGTTTAGGCTGAGGCTCGGCTTAGGCTTGGCTAAGGCTGGGCTTGGGCTTGGCTTTTAGGCTTAGGCTTGGGCTTGTTTTTCTTTTTTCTTTCTTATGAATATACCTTTAAAATCGAAGAAAAATATAACATAAAAATCATATTAAATCTGACTATTTGCAGACCGACGACGTGATCGAGGTCGGCAAGTGCATTTCCACCCCCGGCTGCGGATGCCGTATTGTTCGCGTGTGCTGTTGCCGTGACGGGCAGTGCTCTAGCAGGCCCACCCACCTCTAGGTGTCACTGTCCCTTTAAAATCACCCAGAATCCCGAAAATCTCCAAGATTTCTACCGTATCCCACCACGTGTTTTTGTGCAATTCATCCAACTTTGTGGCCTTTTCCCCTTGATTGTGTGCCTTACGATATTACCAGCTATCCCGATTCTGAGCTACTGTGAGAAATGGAATGATTATCCAAATTTTCGTGTATTTATTGGTGCTTAATTTTATTATTAATTTTCTATATCTTTTCCCTAGATCCCACACACACCAGAGATCTTCCTGTGATATTTGTGTGATGCTAATTATTTTTACATGATTTTTAAGCTATTTTTAAGCTTTTTACGTTGTCTATTTTCATATTTAATGTTATTAATAATTTATTGATACCCCTATTTCCCACCACCTGATCATCCACTAGCAAAAATCTCTGACCCCCGCCGGCTCCCAGCTATCTGAACCACGGAATATATCAGTGCAGTATTTAATGATTTAATTATTTGAACTATTTAATTAAGCTGAAATTTTAATTTACATATTTGCAATTCAGAGCCAAATTAAACTTTTTAAACCCCTAGAATTCCCCCCACCAAGCACAGGGCTTTCCGATATCGCATGAACTCTCTTTTCCCTCTCAATTCTTTACCGATTTTTCTTAAGGTATCTTAAGGTATCACTACTACATTTTTCTTTCGTTTTTGTACTTACCCAACTCCTTGTTCATCTTCTACGTCTCCTTTTTCGCTGTATACTGCGGGTTTTGGTGACTGTGTGCGTATCCTTTTGTCGATTGCTACTACCCTCGTATTCTCCGGAAATCCCAACCCAAGAATCCCAACATTGCAATGTCCACCCAATCACCGGCAATCTTCACTTCCGTCATTTTTGTACATTTTGCGGCCCAAACCGAAGATTTCGAGCAATGGGCATCGTGGCAATAATAAAATGGTTAAATTTGAAACTGAATCGCACCGGATCCAGGAAACACAGTCGGGCCAGAACATATAAGCTTCAACCATTTCTGCCAAATTCTGACACTTCGAGGGGTAAGGAACTTATGCGAGAGCTTATGCGCGCCCTTAAAACGCATCAATTTACTCTGATTGAAAAAAAGGCTTAAAAGCGTGCGTTCAGTGAGCTATAACTATGAAAAGCTTCGTTTCTCCCTTGTCCCGTAAAGAGGAGTGTGAGTACTACTCCCCGAAGGGGTGCACTTTAAGGAGCTAGAAGAGTTGGGTACCACCCTTAGATGTGGTATTAACGCAGAAATACCCAAATTCATCAGGATAACTCGAGGGTCTGCCAAATTTCCTAGCGTAATCGGTTGACGGAGCATTTTTTTATGTAGAGGCGGATCAAACCCCATAGAGTTGGTAGGCCTTTTCAGCGCTTTTAAAGTTCGCTTCTCCTGGGCCTTTCTAGCTCCTATAAAAGCACCAGTCCGGCATGAATTTTGATGCTTTATCGCACGATGTTCTTATGGATTTTGCCGTGTAGCGGACGAGCTTATCGCATACTTTTTTTCATCGCATAATTTTTCCTTTTTTTGCATTTTACGCACCGCAAAAATAGCTACCCTATGAAGTATTTTTATAGATATTTAGCCAAGTTACCTAGAAAAAAAATTGATAATGAAACAGTTGTAAGCCGGTCGTTTCGCGGAGCGTACGGTACTCCCCAGCAAAAATCTCTAAATTTTTCATGAGTTCTAATGAAAAACATTTGCCTACATCTGCCAGAAATGCAAATTTCCTGATGCCGCACCTTAACATGGGTGAATATTTTGCTCAACAATTTCTCGGAGTGGAAAAGAGTTGCAAAATTCAGCAACGTGATGAAATTACATGACCCGGTGCCAACCTCCCACTAACAATGCTGCTATGTCGAGACCCTGAATCATCACCGGGGTTTCTGCCGCCTCCAATCGCCTTCAACCCCCCGGGAATCTATTATTTGCCTTGGAAAGTGGAGAAAAGTACTGTGTACGGTGTCTGCCCGCGGCAAGGACGACGTTTCGATTGGACATCATGGCTCTCACCCCGGCACGCGGGCACTACTTTTTTGAGGAGGGGGGATGCTTGCTGCCTATCCCGGGGCGCGCGAACACTACCTTTTTTTCTGGGGGACCTTGCACTTTTGGGGAGGCCGAAAAAAGGAGTTGTCTGGAATGGATGGGAGGGGTGGATGGATATTTCAGGAAAAACGTAAATTTAAGGGAACTATAAGCCTAAAATTTACAGTACCTGGAAAAACCCACTAGCGGTTGGTTGGAGTCCAGTAATTCTTCTACAAAAATTAATTGGCCATAAATTGCATAAAAGATGACATAAAATTGGTTTTTTTAGTGGCGCAACGCACTGAGGACTCCGTTAGCGCGTTGCGGGTCGCGGTCCCGGCAGCTCCACTACCGTTTTTGCTTGTTCGAAAGTAGCTTTTTTGAAAAGTACGATTGCCCTTTACGGAAAAAAAATCATCAAGGGCACCGGTGGATTCAAATTTACGACTGCCGAAGCGGATACAAGTGCAAGGCTCCGTTTTTTTCACGCCGGCATGGTCCGGCGGCACTGGATGTACAGTAGCGTTTTTATGGTCGTCGGCGCGGCAAGGGCAGGGCGTCCCCGGGGAGGGGCAACAGCTCAAAAAAACGCAGAAAAAATGCACTTTCGCAGCAGCCCGGGCGAGAAGCAAAGACGTACAGGAAAAATCGATAGCTTACCTAACAAAATTCAGGGAATTCTCGACGTCTTCCTAAAGAACCTCTGCTTGCTCACTTGTGACTGCCTGACTATCGTCCACTAAATTTCCCAACGAATCTCTGCTCGTGGTCGTGTGGAAATCAAGTCGGATAACTACCTAAAGTACGCATATGCAATTTCCAGGATGGGCACTTTCCAACTAGGGTGCCTATTTTAAAAATAGAAGGTAAGCAGCCGGTCAGTTACATGTCGCTGAGCTTTTATGACTTGACAAGGCCACCTTGCTGTCACTATGCCTTTAAAAGCACCGATACCCCAAAATATCCACACAACTCCAAAGAACAGTTTGATGACGCCCTTCGATGCACTTTTGCAGTGTCCGTGCTAAACCGTGCCCATCGACCATTTCATCGTGCCGGTGGCGGTTCGGCTAGATGTGCAGTGGACTTGTTTGCGTAGCGGTATTTGGTGTGGGCCCCGGCCCGGGGGTCGTGCCAGCTTCACCGCCTCGAGGGTAGAGGAGGGGCACACCCAGGACTCCTCAATGGCCACACACACTGGCACTGTACACATAGAAGAGAGAGAGAAAGAGAGAGAGAGAGACAGAGAGAGAGACAGAGAGAGATGGACAGACAGACGGACGCCACCTACAAAGAGGGCTGCTGACCGGTACAGTTTTGGGTGGGGAAGGTCGAAAATTAGGGGGCCGGCTTACTACTAACGTTTTGTGAGATTTATCAAATCTCAGAATTTGTAAATAGGCAGGGCAATCTAACAGAGATTCTTAGACCGAAAAACTAATCATGAGCTTTCTGACAAGCTCGTGTTTTTTCATGACGAGCTTCAAAGAATTATAAGACTTCGGCGGCTCCGAAACATTTTATGGGCTTCGCGCCCTTCACGGTCTACTGGCTCAGGCTTCATGGGCTTAACAGGCTTCGAAAGTTTCCCAGGCTACATAGGCTTCATCGGCTCCGCTAGCTTCACCGATTTTTTGGGGGCTTATGAGCTTTGCACGCTTCACAACCTTCACCGGCTTCAGAAGCTCCACCAGTCCCGAAAGCTTGACATGCTTCATCGACTTCAAAGCCTTCAGCCGCTTGAAACACTTCAAGAAACCTCCTCGAAGTCGACGAAGTCGTGGATCCAAGCATAGGCGAGGTATAACAGCGCGAAATCCCTGTGTAACAAAACAAACCAAGTTTCGAAACCCTGTACCGCCAAGAAGCCGCAGAAAAATTCACCCCAGCTGATCACCGTCAGCTTTTCCTCTTCCCTCTATCACTTCCGGCTGGCAGCAAACAGCTTTGCTCTCAACCGTCAAAAGCCAACCAGCTACTTCCTGCTCGAAGGTACTGAAAAGTGCAAGCCGCCGGCAGTTTGCACAAGACTGTGCACCGGGCCTTATTTACCCTTAGGACCCAGCCGGGGGCCCACCGGTTCGTGCCAGCTTCACCTTCTCGAGGAGGCCATCGGGGAGGTGGTCAAATAGTTCTGCTCTCTCTCTCTCTCTCTCTCTCTTCTCTCTCTCTTCCTCAAGAAGATCGTACTACTATGCACACGGAAGTACCGTGCGCGCGGCTCCTCCTCGACGGTGCCCCCCGATTATGCAAAGTTCGGCAGGGCGGAGGTCGGGGGTAAATAGAGAAGGCCAACCATACCGATGCCCAAAGCAAGAGGTTTGGGCCGCGGAGCAAGAGAGCCTTTGAGCCTTTGGGGCCCTGTCCCCTAGGGGACACCCTCTAGAAATTAGAAATCGGCACAGGGATTAGCAGGAAAATGGAAAATGTCCGAGGCTTCCAGGCGCTTTAAAAAAATAGCAAACATTAGGACACCGTCTAAGCGAAACGGCCGCGTTGCGTGTCGAGACCTAATTGCCGATAAGGGAACGCCAACGCTTCGCAAGGCTCCTAAAGCAAACCTACCAAGCCCCGGGCGGGACCCGGACCAAGACCGCGGTCCTGCCCCCCCCCCCTCCCCCCCCCCCCCCCCCCCCCCCCCAAACAAAAACCCCCCCCCCAAAAAAAAAAAAATATATATATATAAACCACACCCCCCCCCCCACCCCCACAATATCCCCCCCCTTTTTTTCCCCCCAAAAAAAAAAAATATATCCCCCCCCCAACCCCTTTTTTCCCTTTAAAGGGGTCGATTCTTGCCTTTCCTAGCCATTTTCTCACCGTTTCCTTTTACAGCATTTTGCTAAACAAAATAAAAATCTTCTCGCGAGTCCAGCGTAAATCGGGCAAACGAGGAGAGAACCTTTGGGTCAGGTTCCTCCAGCTCAAAACTAAAGCAAAAAGCTAAAACACAAGGCTTAATAATTTTTGAGGGTTGAAAGACGCACCAGCTACGCTTCGTGATTTGGTCTTTCGCTTGGCTCTAAACTATTATACGCTAACCCTACCGTAACCTCAGACGCCCCCAAATTCCCACACTTTTTTGTCACTTTGTTGCTCTCTGGCCAGACCGTACCTTCCTTCCGTCTGCAGCCACTTTCGATGGATCGAATCCGTTTAGCCAACCGCGACGAGGGCAGTTCAATTCATTCCTCGGGATCCGAAGCTGGCGCTTCACGTGCACCTCCCGAAAAGGAAGAGCCGATCCACGAAGCCGTCAGCTAATAAGGGGTGTTGTGGAAAGGGAAAGCTTCTCCTCTGCTGCCCATTCATTCCCGACCTCTTGCTCACTTCTCCTCCTCCTTTTGCAAAGCCAGCCCCACTGACCGACTTTCTATCCATAAGGCACAAGCCAATCCACCCACCCGCCGGCCTCGGGGCTCGTAAATTGGCGATCGGCAGGGGAGTTTGGAAAGTGGGGGATGGTTGAAAAAGAAAAACATAAATTAGGTCTTACTTCAAAAAAGTAACAGCTTCTTAATTTACCTCATAAATACGCGGGGGTACTTTCGCATTATCGGGGGGGGGCGGAATCGTCTTTTTTCTTAGTATCCAATTTTCCAAATATAAGTTGCGAAAGAGTTTCCAACCTATTTGCTGTGGTTTCCAAACGGCAAACGTTTCAGGTTTCAGATTAAAGTGTATTACGACGTGTATCCGCCCAGTACTCCATCGCCTATTAAATAAAACTCTTTATTCAAGCAGCACACTTTCATGTTTGTGTTTTGTTGAGTCAACTTCCTTGCAAAATTGGGCGGCTAGTCATTATTAGAAACGAATTCTGAGATCAGCAACAACGGGGTTGGGTGCGGGTGGGCATGTTGACGAAGAGACGTTCAAAAAGAACAAAAGATGCAGTAATAGCCTCGTAATAAAGGATCACAATTTAGCGGGCGGGGTTTTAAAGGAACCGGGAAATCAATGGCACGTAGAGTTGAGGAAAACGGTGCTTATAGAAATTTCGTGTACGTCCAGGTCCCTTTAAAACCCGCGCAAATCAAGAACTAGCAATTTCGACTAGCCAAAAACAGAAGCGAATGGTCACTGAATTCCGGGGAGGCGGGGTAGATCACAATGTAGCGTTCACAAGAGGCTGGTTGGGTCACAACAGGGAAAAACAGGGCGGTTTTTGAGCTGGAATATTTTTGGTGGATGGTTTGGAGAGGCCGCGGGAGATGAATGAAAGGCACAGAAGTGAAGCGGAAAATTTTAAAGGGATTGCGAAGGCAAATGGGACGAAATCTCTCAAATTCATGTCTAAACTATCACGCTACGTAAGCGCCTAGTCACGTCCGCGTATAGCTCGTTGGCCTACTCTATCAGCGTAATTAGGCGCTTGCGTAGCATGTTTATAAATTGGCTATATTCGACGTAAACGTCTTTTTACGTCCACGTAAAAAGTCCACACTTGCGCTTCACAATCCCTTTAAAAAAATCTAATAATTGAAGTAATGAACTCAAACAAAATGCCATCAAAATCAGACGGGGGCAAAAACAGCACGACAAATTAAGGCGAAATTTTGATTATGCCCCGGAAATGGTGATTAGAATTGAACGGGATTCAGAGAGGGGTCACCGGAGCTGGGAAGCAATTATTAATATCAATTTCATGGCGAATTGGTAGCGTAGCGTAGTCAGGGGCTAGACGTCGAGGATCTCATCGCTGCTCGAGGAATCGTCGTCGGACCCGATCAAATTTGCAGACTCGTCGCCTCGATGGTAGCGGGCGCCGTGATGATGACCGCCGGCACCGTTGGCTCGTCCGTTTGCGTCGCAGCACGACTGAAAAAAAAACGGTAAAAAAGTTCAGATTCAAGATTTACGTGACGTTCAAAAAGAAACGGCAAGTGAAAGAAATTCCTTTAAAAAGGAGCTAAACAGAAATTCGTGTAGTTTTTTAGAAAATTGGCGAAATTCTCATCCTCGTCAATTTGGTAGATTAAAGCCTAATTTAGAGAAATAGACAAAATTTTAAGGGAAATACAAAATACTAACCACATTTCTAAGGAAAAAAGAGAGGCAGAACTAGTGGATTTTCTAAAGGTTGACAATTTCGGAACCGATTCCTTGTTTTAAAGACGTTAACAACTAAAATCGGAATAGAAAACACGAAAATACGTTTGCATTTCTTCAAGGCCCCCAAAAATAGTGCAAGAAAATGATTTCCGGTTTCTAAGGCCTCCAAAACGGCTTTCGCTTCAAAACAGGCAAAATAAGTTCATTGGCCAATTTCCGAGACCTATAACCACAAATGGACAATAATAAGACCCGAAAGTGCAACCCAAAAATGTGAGCAAGCAGAAAGAGCGTAAAAACTCTGAACGTCACGCAAAAACGCAAAACACAACCGAACCAACCCAGCACAACCTGCAGAAGCGCTTGCAGATCTGGCCGTGTTTGTGGCTGTGGCCGCCGCCGTGGGAGTGGTTGTGGCCGTGTTCGCCGCGTTGTCCGCGCTTCCGCTTTATCCGCGAGTTGGTGGTTTCGCCTTCGAGGTACTGGAAAAAGAGGACTATTGCTGTATTTTTATTTTTATTTTCTACTTTTGCTTTTTTTATTATTCTAATAAACCAAAGAACCCTAGAAAATCGGACTCACATTAATGCACTGGACCGTGAAGAGGGTGGTCATGAAAAATACATGGCATCCGGCAAGCATCGCGGTCAGAAGCACCCAGCAATGTCGCTGCAGCATCAGCTCTGGAATTAGGAATTTTACAAATAGATAGAACCAAAAAGATTGATTAAACGGTTTTAAACTTAAAAAACATGAAAAGCAAGTCACAGCGTCAAAAAACAGCTTTTAGTAAGAAAAACCCAAAAACAGCTTAATTCCACCAAAAACTCACCAAAACTAATATCCCGCAGCTCGGTCGTCAAAAACCGGAAGCACCCGATCGTGTAGATGAGAGACGAGACGCAGACGGAGAAGACGAACAGGATGAAAAGCTTCATGTTCTTCATCGTGATGCACTAAAGAAGATTGATTGGCAAAGAAGGAGAAAATTGACCTGTGCCAGCCAAGGGCAATGATGATCGAAATCTTTCACACATCTATCGCAAATCGCGCAGTGCTTGGACCAATTGGGCCGATTCACATAGCAGGAATAGCAAAAGTAGTTGATCGTATTCTTCTCAATTTCTTCGACGAGGAGGTTCTGAAAAAAACACCCGCTTGTATTTAAGTACATTAAATTCATTAAAATTCGTTAAAATCTACCAAAATTTACCATTTTCGCCTTTTTGTCGAGGTTCGGCTTGATGACGCCGGGATCTCCTAGCGATATCAATCCCAGCGTGCCAAAAACTGCCGTAATCGAGACGAGGAAGAGTATTTGCAAGTACCACGGGACGAATGGGTAGATGTAGAAGCTCCTGGAATCACAAGACATTAAACGTCTGAAAGGCCGTAAAGAGTTAGGTGGCGTAATCGAATCCAGGAAAAACGTACCAAACATGTAGCATCACCAGCGGTTCCGTCACCGTGATACCAACGGCCAAATAGGAATTTTGCCATGAAACGTCCCGAATGGCGTACATCGCCAACCCGAATAGAAGCAGCGTGCAGGCGATGGCAACGCCAAAGTGAAGAAGTTGGAAGAAGATAGTGGCCAGGGCGAAGCAGACAACTAAAAGTAAGCTTTATTAAATTTGTAAAAACTACAAATAACAAAAATACCGCCTCAAAATCCGTAGTAAACTCACACGGCGCGCCAAAATGTATCCGGCGCACATTCTTCGGATTGTCCTTGATAGAGTCGAGGAAAGTGCCGCGGAGGGCCCCCTTTCGCCGCAGGGCCTTCTTCAGCATTCGCTGGATCTTCTGGTGCCGATTGTTGCTGACGATGTCGAGCGGGGTCTCGTGCTGCTTGTTGGGGATTGTGGGGTCGGCGCCAGCGGCGAGTAGTTCACTAAAGTGTTGTCATTAGGTTGGGCAGGTGCGTGAAATTGGAGCTCCGTAACGAGAGGCAGCCCACCCTAACTTTAAAGCTTTTGCTTAATTAGATATTTTGCACAATCGATTTTACGCCTCTTTTACTTTGCAAAAACTCACCGAATCGCCGTAATGTTCCTCTCCTGAGCAGCGAAATGGAGCGCGGTATTTCCTTGCAGCGTTTCTTGCGCGTTGAGATCAGCGCCGCTGTCGATCAAGATTTTGAGCGGGAACATCTAAAAGCGAAAAGATTATAATAATTTAACCCAAATATTATTTAGACTTGCAGGCCGCATGCTGGCCAAAAACAAACCTGATAACACCGATACGCCGCCCACATCAACGACGTCATCCCCGCGTTGTCGGTGAAATCCCGGGAGTCGGGGTACTTGGCTAGGAGGTAGGCGGTGAGGCCGATGTGCGTGTTCTGAAAAGAATGTTGGTAATTTCGGATCTAGATCATTGAATATAAGCCCTGAATCCAGTAAAATAGCAAATTCCCATTTCCGGAAACGACATTTTGCCCAACATCGTTAAATTAGCCATTCCCTCACCTGCACGGCCAAATGGAGCGGCGTCAACCCTTGCGAGTCGCGGATGTTGCAAATCGCGCCCGCATTCACCAGCCGGATCGACGCGCCGAGTTGCCCAACACGAACGGCCCAGTGCAGCGGTGTCGAGACGAGAATCCCGCCTAACACGTTCGGATCTTCGCCGCTGGCCAGAAGCCTGGAAAAGGATGGGGTTTTCTTGTATGCGATTTTTTTAAGATTCTCGCAAAAAACTCACTTTTCGACGCATTGCACCGAGTTGTTTATGGCGGCCCAGTGAAGCAGCGAGCAGCCGTCAACGTCTTTCGCCTGGAAAGTGAAAATAGAATGGAAATTAAGACGGAAAAACACGGATGGAACCGATTACGCCGTAAAAACACTTACCGATGCCGGAACGCCCTGCCGCAAACATTCTTCCAACGCCTCGACGTCACCGCGTTGCGATGCTTCGACGGCTCGGGTCACCGGGTCCTGCTGTTGCCCCGGTTCCGCCATCCCCGCGGCGGGAGGAGAAGGAAATTGCCTGAAAATACTACCTTATTTTAAAGACATTTAAAATTATAACAGGAAAAGAAAATAAAAAGAGAAAGCTGGAAAACGAATGGTGTCATGAAATTGGAGACTGGCAATAGGTTTCGCCAGCCCCGCAACGCGCGATGACTCAGCAAAAGAGACCAAAAAAAGTCATGTTTTGTCGGCAATGCTGTGCCGCGAGAAATTCGATAAGAAACCCAGAGAACGGAGAAATTATGGAGTTTTTTCCCGTAAGTTGGTAGAAACAAGATTTGCCGTAATTGAAAGAGAGCGAGAGAGAGAGAGAGAGAGAGAGAGAGAGAGAGAGAGAGAGAGAGAGAGAGAGAGAGAGAGAGAGGGAGCGAGATAGAATGAAATACAAAAATTCAACACAACTTCTTCAGAACAATGCTCAAAAAATTCTGCAAGAGAGTTTGCGGCGCTGCAAAATAGCGATTACCAATCTAGAGACAAGAAAAACAGACTTTTCATCGTCATAACACCCAATCTGTCACCAAAATAAGCATCACGGGACCAGCCACTGCAAGAAAATACTAATCGAAGCTTTAATCATCGAGAGTGACTTCCCTAGATCCGATGATTTTGGACCTCAAAATCCCCCGGAGAGTCGCCCCGACAACCAGCCCCACAAAACACTGAATAATAGATTATGCGTGCGGAACACCTGTTGGGAAATTGGGCGATAACGATGCGGTTTTTCAGAACTTTTATGTACTAAAGGCCAAAAACATCTTATATTAACGCCCGCCGGGCTTGACACGTCTAATTTAAAACAGCATAAAGTCAAAATGCTTAGTCCTTTTTAGGGAAGACTCAAAGAATGCTGACAAAATCGAAAAACGTGCTCGTACTACATTCCAGGGTGCTTCCCCATGCTTTGGTGCCAGCTGCCCCGTCCACCAACCCCCCGAAATGGGGCGCGCATAATTTATGGGCACGAAATGGCGGCTATTATCTTGGGGGTCGCCGGGATGGGTGGGTTCAGTTGGCGAGTAAAAAAACATGGGTATATCGCTTTTTGTATCCGAATACCTTCTAAAAATTGGCCATAAAGCTTTTCTCTAGGTTGGTCTAAAGGCGCACGTAACGTCAAAACTCTGAAAAAAACGCAAAAATGCCACTTTGACGTTTTTGTAATGCTAAACGCTTCAAAACCTCCGTCTCGAACGTCTAAACGATATTTTGCTGCTATTTTGTAGGCTTCGCAAGTTCCCGGATTCGGTCACGAACTAGAATGTTTCCATAAACCTATTTTCTAGGTTCGGCTAAAGGTTCGGCTTTTCAAGCTAAAACCATAATAAGAACACAAAAATGTAACTTCGATGTTTCTGCGATAATAAAGCTTTCCGTAGTGTCTTAGACTTTATAAACTCAACAAAAAGCTGTTTTGAAAAACAGCCCCGCTAATTGGTAAGAGGAACTAACAGGAAATTAGCGATATCTGTCGAAATCGGCCAAATTGAGAGGAAAAATTTTACTAGTAGGCAGCGCGTATCGCCGCCTTCACGAATTTGAGAGAAACGTGGTGAGGGGGCCACAAAAAGTGCCATTTCTCGAAGGCAAATAGAGCTGAAGGAAGGGAAGAGGATGGGAGAATCAGCTGCCAGTCTTTCTCGCCACACCACCGTAGTTTGTAGCGCACGGGCAGGGAGGGGCGTGGAATAGGAGGCAAGCCATCCGGGTCAGCCGGGAAATTTTAAAGGGCCGTTGAAGTCAAGGAATGAAGCAAAATCTGCTGGAAATTTGTGGCAATCGAGGGAACTGGCCCCTAAGATAGTCATGATGCCAAAGCTTGAACTGACGGATTTAGGGCTGAAAAAAATGGATTTGAAAATACTGTCATCCGGATACGGTAATGGGGAAAAACTCGGTTCTGGGCTTTCTGGTATGAGGGCTATAATTGTTTCCGCGGTCTTCTATACCGTATGAAAAGGATCGAGTCGAAACTCGGTTTAAGTCCAGCGTACAACCCATTTTTATTTTTTTAGCCTCAATTTTTGTAATATTGCGGAATTCGAAAAATTCTTGGACCATTCTTCCTAGTTTTAGATCGCGTTTTGCCCCTGAAAAATCATTTTCGGGCCGAAGTCCTGGAACCTTCTATTCGGGCGCACTTTCGCTTTCACGGGAGCTTTGTTGCCCGAGGAAATATTGTCGAACATAATCGTTTCGGGGGCCCATTATGGCTTTGCTTGACGGGCCCGAAGCGGGCACTTTTGCTTTTTAGAGAGCTGCCTTTCACAGGAAAGGAGCGCTTTTTAGGAGTCGAGTCGAGAATCGAAATAGCGTGGTTTGTAAAAGGTTTGAAGGAACAGGAAGTTTTTAGCGTTTGCTATCGGAAAAAAAGGATTTTTCGTTTTACTGCATTAATTTTATTGTGTTTATTTTATTGTAAACGTTTATTCGCATTTTTGTTTTGAAGCGTCGGCAGTGTAAATCCGAAAGCCCTGTAAGACCGAAAGCCAGGAATTTTTATGCCTTGCCAGTCAAAATCAATTCTCCAAGCATTTCTGCTAGATCCAAAGGCTCCAATTTTAATTTTTAAACTGGTTTTGACGTGTTTCTATAGATTTTCAAAGCTTCATAACTCCGATTTCCATAAAACCCCCAGTTGCCAACGCCATATGACCTTTCGTGAGTACCCGTTTTGCCCATAATGCGATTAGGGGCGAAGCGAGCGCAAGTTTTTGAGAATATTGACGTTGCCCGGCGACGATTATGTCCTGCCCGGAAATGGCAAAATTTAGCCCTAAATTTCTAAATTTGGCGCTGGCGGCGGGCGGGGCGGAAACTGGCCTACGCCAGTTTTCTGTGTCCGCCATGCGTAACTCGACTGGGGCCAGAAATGACCGGAAATCCCGCCGGAACTGGCCACACCTTATATAGCAGCTGGGTGGCAACATTTTTGGCATTACTGGTCGGGCTTGGACGTTGTTAATTTCGAATTTTTAGTATGATTTATATGCCGTGAATGCGATTTTTCGGAACTAGAAAGAACATAAAAGAAAAAAAGGCGCCAATTTGAAATTAATAGAATGAAATTGAAGCAAATTAAAGAAATTTTTAAACTCTGGTTATTGTGTTTATTAAACATTTTCAGTTATTTTGCAGTTTTTAAGGTTAATAAATATTTTGGAAGCCAATTTTGATGGACTTTCAACATTAACTCACTAGAAAATAACTAGATATACACCCCCTATAAGACGAAAAAATTTGGTTTTTTGCGCCGTTTGTTTACAGAAATGCGAACTACAAAGTAAGTAAATAATCGTTTTTCGTTGTTTATTCTTCTAAATAGCTTATTTTCTATGACATCATCAATCCAAAATTCCCCTACATTTCTGTTTGTCACTCCGTTCGACATTTGGCATTGAGACCAATCGCTTTTCAAACGTGCTCACCTGGCACTAAAATGGGGAGGAGGTGAAAGGGCGACAGTCACACGGGGAGCGCCAGGTCCATTTTCGTTTTTTTATTTGAAAAGGGCACCGATTTGGAAGCGGGCGGCCCGACTAGGTCGCTGGCCGGTACAAATACCTCCCGCGGCGCCAGGGTTCGGGATTTCGATCCGGTTTTCGGAAATTCTCAATGGAAATTAGGGACGTTTCAGATAACCGGAATTTTTCTATTTTTTTAGAGCTGCTCAAAGGGAAGCAGCCTATTAATTCCGATTTTTTCTTATTTTTTTATTCTTTAAGCACGTAGAGCGGTTATTTGCGCTTATATTGAATTAAGATAACTTATTTCTTAATCTTGTTCAAAATTTCGAGCATATAGAAGCCGATCAACCCGGCAATTTTATGACAAAATTTATCGTTTATCCAGTTATTAGGTTTCTAGCTTTTTATTACTAACATTAGGAATTTCCTAATTTTTTTGTAGTGTTTTTTTTTGGAATATATGGATTTCCTTCAAAACGTTTTCTGCTCGTGCCTTGATCCCGTTCTCGATATCCTAGATCCCTGAATCACGTTCGGAAACATCAAAACCATCCTTTCCAGACATTCAAAAAAAAACATCGATCCCCTTTCTTGTAAACGTTTTTGGAGTGAGATGAGTCATTTTCGTTCCGTTTCGCCTCGTTGATGGCTGACATTTTGACCCGAGACCTTGCTGGGGTTTGAAGCTGACTCATCGCACTAATATGATTAGGGCGGGTATCAACGGGCTTTTCTGCTCCGTGGTGTTCTAGAAAATTCTTGGAAGTTTTCTGAAATACCGCGAAACAGTCTATGTCAGAGCTGAAAAACCGCTGCGCGGCTTTTTCTGGCACCCACCGGTTCTCGGGCTAAAAATACCGGGATGGAATTGCACGTTTTTTGAACTTCTATCCTTGTTTATGGATTTAGAACGATTATTTTCCTGTGGTTTTTGGGTGCTGGAAGCCGACAATCTTTTTTACGTTAAAAACAAACGATTAAAGTTTCTAAAAAGCGTCCATCTTGGCTATTTTCAGGGCTAAAAATTTTCTTTAGAAACTCTCCGCTTTTCCATCCGTCTCTGCCCGATTATAACTTGAGAAGATTTTTTCTCCCCTTTTCTGCAGCGTGCAACCCGAGGTTCTACTCCCAAAAATACTCCCATTCTCTTCCATTCTTTGGCCGAAATACCCGTCCGATAAGCTCCTTACCCTTGCGCTCACTTTTTTCGTCTCGTGGCGCCCCCGGTCACTTTTCAGCTTCTGCGTGGCGGGGCGAAAACAACAAATATTTACAATGGGAGCAGCGGGGTCGTGAAGAGCCTGTTTTGCTGGTATCATCACCATTCGTAGATTTGCGCAATGTGTCATTTCACGGGGTATTGATGCTCTAGCTCTTTTTGATCAAGTGCTGGCAAGTCAAACGTATCAGCCGTTTCGTCTGCTTTGCATAGTCTTACGCTCCTTTTGGCATATGTTCATACGTTTCAAAATAGCGGAATTTTGCTATTTGTTTGCGTTCTCTAAATTTCCTGCTCTTATCCAAGGCGTCCTAGAAATGCCTTGGAAGTAGATTTTCTGTAGATTTCTACCCCGTGAACCGTAACGGGCACGCTTGTCCTTCCATCGCGTAACAGATTGCGACCATTTCAGGCCGACTAATTACCCTAGAAGACATTTGCAACACATTACTTTACGAGACATTACTTTAAGCTTTTCTTACTGCGTATCCCCTTTTAAGGTAGCTTTAATTAACAATAAAATATATAAATCTATGAATAAATTTAGCCTTTTTGCGAGTGGAGGGTTCTTTATTACACGCGCATTCCATGTGCCATCCGTATGTGTGTTGACCTTGTCCCGAAAAGGCACACACACCCGGAATTTCGACCCCATTTCCTTTGCCTGGCGCGCCCCTCGGAAAAAGCCGATTGCCACGCTAGCTTTTTCTAATTAAATTTGGTGCCTTGGCGCCGGCCCAGATTTTCTGCCTTGATTAAGTTTTGGCGATGGAGTTTGTATTTTCTAGGTGTTTCTATCGACTTTCGCTTGGTTTTAAGCTTCGCTTTTTCATTTCCGCTTTCGTATTTTCTAAATGTTGTACCTGCACGTATTCGGCTGCTACTAATGCGACCATTTATATCTCTCCCTCTCTCTCTCTGTCTCTGTCTCTCTCGCTCTTTCTCTCTCTTTCTCTCTCGCTCTCTTTCCCCCATCTGTCTATGTCTTCTGATTTCTGATCCTTGCTATTATCTTCCGCCAAGACTTGACTCCAGAATCCGGCTCATTCCTTATCAACGCGTTTCCGCTTTTTTCCAAATTTCATCCATTGTTTCGGCCGGGCTGTATACTTTGTTTTCGAAACCAGACCAATCACGAGTTCCCTGGAGGCCTCCAGGATCATTCATTCTCTCCTGCCTTGAGGTCTTGATAAGAAATAGCTTCGATTCTGATTAATGAACCTCAGATGGTCCATTTGATTATACCACTTTTTTAAGCATATACACAGGGATTCGTCATTGTTCTAGCGCGGCAGAATGATTCCATTGGTTCAGAATGCCACAAAAAGTTTGTTCCTCATCTCGAAAGTCAAAGGCCTTGAGATTTCTATGGAATTCTTAGCTCTCCAAATTGCTTCCTGTCTGGCCAGACGCACCCCTTATGAGGGTGCGAAAAGCTAGAAATGGTCTACTTTTTCGTTAGTTCCCTAGAAAAGCCAGCGTTTCGTAAGGACTATCTACGATTTTTGTTTTTTTTGTTAGCCTGAAGAGATTGTTGCAAGATTTGGCTAATATCTATGCTTTCCTCGCACTAGAACGAGCGGCCAGTCCCAGGTAAAAAATTATATTAGCCAAATTAATGTAGCAAACAGCTCGTTTTAGATGTTTTCTAGGAAATGTTTTCAAAACCTACCGGGGGAAAGTATTTAATTATTAAAAGCTTGGCTTGAGAATGCTTAAAATTCATTACAGTATGCCTGCTTAAAAAATCGGAATCTATTTTCGAAATGCGAGGTACATATTAAAATCTACCCCTTATTTTCACGCTATAACCGCGCGTAATTTATTTGTTATGCACCTCAATTCGAGCCATACAATTGGCCATGAAATTATGACTAACGAAAAAATTATTCAATCTATTCGAACCAATTAGGCCTCAATTTCGCAATTTTTACGCTGTAAAATCGCTAAAATTCGCCTCAAATTTGCGTAATTTGGCGCGCAACGTCCTTACCCACAATAGTAATCCCAGCAGCCCTCCGGAATTATCCAAATTACCCGGCCCGGGGTTGCATGTTGGCACTTCGCGTTGTGTGGCCCTTTGCGAGTATGTGTGTGTGGGTGGGGGTGTATGCCAGATGAGCCAGTGCGAGGGCCGACAAGGGCCCAGACACGGCCCCCCACATTGATCCCCAAACACCCTCTCCTACTACTCATCGCACTCCCGACATTTTGTTGAATTTATTCTGATGCAACAGAATGCTGACTCTCTCTCTCTCTCTCTCTCTCTCTCTCTCTCTCTCTTTGTTTCTGTCTCTCTCTCTCTCTCTCTCTCTCTCTCCTATGGAAAGCCTCGCGAAAACTCCAAATTTTGCCATTTTCGGCTAACAAACGAGCCGATACCTTAAAATCTTTAAAAACGAAGGTAATTCAAAGAACTCCTGGTTTAGACTTTATTTCAGAAAGGTCAGATTCGAGCTATAACAAGCAGAAATTTTTCCCTACCTTAAAAAATTTTTATATTAAATTTTTGTCGTGTCGAGATTTTGGTTGTCGCTATTATGGCTTTCGGTATTTTACTTCTCCAGATCTTGCTGTCGGTATTTTTAGCTGGCGGGATTTTCGCTTGGGCAATTGTGTCTGTCGGCATTTTAGCCTGTCGGGATTATCGCTATCGGAATTGCCGCTGTCGGGATTTTCGCGTTTTCCGGCTAATAGGCGTTCATCGTAGACTTTTGGCGGTAAAAACTATAGTATCACGTTTATCGAGGCAGTTTTGTAGTCTGCACAATTTCGACACCTTGGCGGCACCGAGGTGCCCAGTGGAGTCTGGACTATTGCAAATAAACCCAATAAAAGGGCTAGTAACGTTCAGTTCTTTCCTCTTTCCACCTCTGCGAAAGGGCACGCTCTCTGCGTGGGTATCCCAAAAACAACCCATCCTCGCACTGGCGTTACTAGGCACAAAAATAGACGCACCGATAGCCCCACCGGAAATTTGGACCCGGCCAGAAAATTACTCTTCTTCTCGCGTTATACAGCTATTTCGGGGGATTCGTTAATTATGTTCCCAGATACTCTCTATATAGCAAAATATACAACTTTATGCTGCCATTTCAGCAGGTTTACTAAAAATTGAAATTTTTGGCGATATACAGCTTTTGAGATGATTTTTCCATGTTTAACTATTTTCAGGACTTTTTTTATAGGCTGAATCTCTATAAAGCGACTCTTAACCGTTCCACCGCATTTTTCCATATTTTTTAGTATATTTCCCGGAACCGCCAAAATGATGAGTGGGTGGTTGGGGCTCTCTCTCCATATTTGTCAGCTGATTCATCCCCCAAGTGTGGGCAGAAGCTTATCCCGAACCCCTTCACCCCATCCAAACCGCATCCCCAGGCACAACAGTATATATTTATTCTCGGTTTCCGGGCTCAAATATTATGCTTATGACTAGTAGTACTATCACCACAAAACCGAGGGGTTATAAGTCACGGTTTGTTGCTGTTACGGCAAATCTTGTAGTGCCGATTCAACTGTATAAAACATTTTTAAGTTATAATATATTTCAAGCCAAAATGTACAATTCGTTGTGATTACAACAATGGCTACACGCTACAACGTTTAATTAGCAAGACCGTACGTACAGCAGCGATGCGTACTTTTCATAGGTTTTGTAGAAAGCGTTTCCCTTCAAAGATCCGTCCGTTATCACCCCGTCATTTGTAGTCTTGCGTCCTGTTCCGGACCTTGCTCTATTTATACAACCGGATCTGGTCTGAAGCGGGCGAGCAACAACTATTTTTGGCCTTTTCTTATCTATAGGTATTTGGGACTATAAAGGCGCTACGAAGTATATTTTGTTCTTAAAGTCCTTGGTTTCAGAGTAATTTTTTCTAAACGTTTCGTTCTTAATTTTCTCAGGAAGCGTTTAAGCTTCACTTTTATTTCCTCTAGCTTCCGCTTTTTCAGCGTGAGCAATTGCTTTTGGAGGTGCAAAAAACCACACTTGGTCTATCTCTTTAAAGAGACTGGCAATTTTAATTAGCTATTTTGTTAGCTATGGATTTTTTTAGATGTTCGCGTTTCGTCAGATACGTTACGAATCTCGGGGGCCTGCGACGTATTTTATCCATTACGCAATAAAAAGCGCTTAAAAAATCCAGAAGTCTCATCAGCGTCTTACCAATCCTTTAAATCAATTATGCCATGGAATTTTAGGCGGAAAATTCATCGGCGTCACTTGCCAGTAACTTTAAGTGAAATCGGCCAGTTCAAAATTTTACAGCGTAATTTTGTACTCTCAATTTTGAGTACTGGCTGATGCTCGTTTCGAACTCTGATCCCTTCAAAAAACTACACGTAACATTAGCCGTTTTCTGATCTGTGCCCGCCACATTGACTCATTGTTCGCGTGGACTTTCGGGTCCTAAGGAACACAATCCGATTGGATGGACGTGGCGATGAATAACAACAGCTGCAGCTGTCTCCCTCACTCTCTCTCTGTCTCTCCCCTCTCTCTGGGCCATTACTCTCTCGCCTACCCTGTCTCTCCAGGGCCCCCAGTCACCCCATAAAATTCATACGAAGCGCATCCTCGGCGCTACGCAAAATTGATGCGCTCCTCGGCTCGGAAAATGTACATGCCGAATTTTCTATACGGCATTTTGACCTTTTTAGTTGTTCTTTGCTTTTATTTGACTTTTAATTTCGTAGTGTTTTGATCTTAAATTTTTAATTTAATTTTATTTAAATTTTGGATTGATTAACTCATCAAATTATTAGCTAAAGCAGCTCTATGAATTGGTTTTTTTCAGAATTAACAGCCACCATGGGAGGCGCCCTGTCATTTGGCCGGTTTCGGCAGAAAGAGCCGAAAAAGCTGAGCAGAGAGGTGGGTTTTGTTTAACAATTTGTTTAAAAATCTGTTTTTGTTTAACAAGTTTTCGACCATTTTCTGAAAAAAAAACTAGAAAAGTACTTGTTTAATCGTGGACTATAGTTTATTTTTGTAGATTTTGGAGCTGAAAATCATACCTTAAAACGCAAAAATGAAATTTAGAAAACTATCGTTTCAGTTTCCTGAAATTTCAAGTTTTTTTTAGGTCCGCATCAGAACCGGTTTAATCCAAGGATTCCTCGTCGACATTGATAACAACCGCGAGGTCGAAATGTATCTTGGAATCCCCTTTGCAGAACCGCCAGTTGGAGAATTACGGTTTAAAGTATGTTTCCCTACGTTTCAAAGCTCTTTTTTCATTGAACAGCTTTAAATTTCGTAAAATAGTATCGTGTCGAGACGAGATTTTTGTAATAGCTCTTTTTGTAAATTGCCTGTTGCTTGAAGATATATATTTTTGGATTTTCAGAAACCAGAACCACCCTCAGATTGGGAAGGGGTACGGCAGTGTACTCGTTTCGGCCACCGGGCACCGCAGTCCGACTTTTTCTGGGAACGATGGACACTGGGGGTCGGGAAATCGGAGGATTGCCTCACGCTCAACGTCTTTGCACCCACTTGGAGCCCGCCGGATAATGAGGTAAGCATCACTTACTTTCCTAAAGGCACATAGAAGCCAAAAAACCGATGACAGCTCTAATAGGCGAAGAGCCGGATCCTTTCAGTGTCAGAACGTTGCAAAACTACTTAAAATTGTTCAAAAAAAAGGCTCTTGCGCAACTTTAAAAGTTAATTCGGAACTTACCAAAATTTACCTTTTAGGACGGTTTCGCCGTGATGGTATTCGTGCACGGGGGCGGGTTCGTCATCGATTCCGCCGTGAAATATGGCGATGTTGGCATTGCCAGGTGGGTAAATAATGACTTTGAAACTTGCAGGACCCAAAAAATGCTGAATATTTCAGGGGAGCCATGCGTAAATGATAAATAGATTGACGATTAGAAATGGTGAATAGAGTATATGTATATATTTAGATACCTTGTCCGTCATGACGTCGTTGTGGTCACCATCCAATACCGACTCGGGTTGCTCGGGTTCTTTTCAACTGGAGATGAAAACTGCCCTGGAAATAATGGGTTGTGGGACCAGACGATGGCATTGCAATGGGTTCAGGTAAGAGGCAGAGAGAGCGAGAGAGAGCGAGAGACAGAGGGAGAGAGCGAGAAAGAGTAAGTTACCAAACTTTTTTCAGGATAACATCCATGCCTTCAAGGGAGACCCCCGCCGAGTTACGGTATTCGGACAGAGTGCTGGAGGAGCTTCAGTGGATCTTCTGACTTTGAGCCCGCATAGTCGAAGTAAGTCGGCTACAAGACGCTCCGATTAGCACCTGTACTACTTCCGCACGCGCCTAGCAGCTTTTTCTTATCGTCTACGTTGTCCCATTAAAACGATGCATTATCCCAAAACTTTTAGACCTCTTCCACCAAGTGATGCCAATGGCCGGAAACGCCGAGTGTGAATGGGCCACCGTCAGCAAGACCCGGCTTGTCGATACCTGCCGGCAGTTCGCTAAATCGAAGGGCTTCGTGTCGGGATCTTACAGTAAGTCTGAAACTGCCGCTATGTTTCTCTCTCTCTCGCTCTATTACTCTCACGCTTTTAGATGTCTCTAGATGCCATCAAGTCTAGATACAAACTTTTAGATACCCGCGCAAATGCTGACATGCTAAAATGGCTAAGAGAAAGACCAGCTAAAGAATTCGAGCGTGGCTTGTTGGGCAGAAAGGTGCGGTTTTTACTTAGAAAAGTAGGTAATATAGAAGCGAACTGTATTAGCACGCCGTTGATTTTTTGCCAATAACACAGGATTGCTTGGCGAGCTTGGTTTTGTTTGTTTTTCACTAAAACAGCGTCAAGATTTTTGCGAGGGCTTGCTCACACTAAAAGCGATTAGCTTTTGCTGTGGCTAATGTTTTGCGGAAGAAGCGTTCCTTAGCCTAACCTTATTAATTATAGGGCGTGGATACCTCAAAGCTGGGACTCGATCTGGCACCAGTTGTTGGCAGCGAGCCAAGCGACTTCTTCCCGAAGCCGCTAGCCGAGCTGAGGAAAGAGGCGCCAAAGAAGAATGCGATGGGTGGAACTTGTGACCAAGAGGGATTGTTGTTTGGTATGTTATACCCTTCGGAATAGTGCAAAAATCTTGAACTGAAATAGCTTAAAAATTCTTAAAAGTATACTATTCATTCATCTTACAGTTTTTTGCAATTACGCTCAATTAAATTATCAAAACAACTATTTTAGCTGCGGTAGCTCCTGGTGGTATGGACGAGAAAGGCTTCGATCGCCTCCTCACCGTCTGCATCAGCGAAGACATGTTCCACCTCGACTACAAGGAGCTCCGAGAGAAAGCTAGAGAAGTCTACCTCAAGGACATTGATGTTAAGGATAAACTACAGATGGCTACGGCTTTTGTTAAGGTATGCAAGCACGTCAAGCTTTCAAGGCTTGTATATTCCAAGGCTACCTACAAAACGGTTTTTTTTCAGCTTTACTCCGATATGTTCCTCAACAACGGTACGGCCAGATACGTCCGTTCAATGGTTGAACACGGAAATAAGGTCTACGCCTACTCGTTTGAATACTTCAACCCAAGGAGTTATGGATTCTTGGCGTTGAAGATGCCGTTTAAAGGTAAGTGAAAAAGGGTGAGAGAGAGCGTGAGGGAGAGAGACAGAGGGAGGGAGGGAGAGAGAGTGAATGAGTAAGAGAGAAGGTGATAGAGCGCGACAGCTAGGATAAGCTAAAGATGACATTTTCAGCGGCCAGTCACTGTTCTGAACTCGCCTACCTCTTCGGCCATGGCATCGTGGTGAAGTTCAAGATGAACGACGACGACCGCAAGATGCAAGATCTTATGACGAGGATGTGGACGAATTTTGTGAAATATGGGTAGGTCCATGAAAGCTGATATTGTGGGATTACTGAAAATCGAAAATCCTGCGAGAACTGTAATTTTCAGAAATCCGAACGGTCCATATGAAGACTCTACCGTGTTCGACTTCATGTGGGAGCCAGCTACGGCTGAGAATGACTATAGGTATGCATTCCTAGACTACTCTCACTCTCTCTCTCTCTCTCTCCTCTCTTCTCTCTCTGTCTATCTCGCTCTCTCTTTCCCTCTCTCTCGCCCTCTCCCCCTCTGTCGCTCTATATGTCTATCTCCGCATCTCTCTTTCCCACTCTCTCGCCCTCTCCTCTCTCTCTCTACCATAACTCCCCAATTTTCAGCCACCTCGCCATCACCGACAAGTGCGTAATGAAGGACGAATACCACGAGCGGCGCTTCGACTTCTGGAAGGAGATCAAGGTCGTGGCTAAGAATATTTAGGCCCTTATTTTGTTATTTATTGTCGTACGGAGTTTTTTCTATTTTTCTAAGTTAGAACTACCATCCATACTACTGTGAATTCTTTAAACCGCCTACAAAATTCTGGTCCCACCCCCCGATTACTAGTCCATTTCCTATTCCCAAAAGGGTCCCACCGCTACGGGTTAATTTATTTCTTTGTGCGTGCAATTTTAATAAATTGTGTTTTTTTTTCATTTTTAGACACGTTTGCTGTACACGTAATTACAGGAATACGATAGAATACAAACCACAAAAAACAAGAATGACAAATTCCGCGAGAATCACCGAAATCAGAGAGTTTGCTGTAAAAGGGAAGCAATTGGGCGATAGAACCCGGCAGTGTGGTGGGAACCAGAAAATGGAATTTAAAAATAAGATACAGGGAAACCTGGAGTACCATTTTGTACAAATTCCAAACTGAAAAAGCTCAGGTTTTGGGGGGAAGTTCAAGGACATTGAAAGATGCATAGTTTCCTAGCGGAAATTTGGTCCATTTGGGGCTTTTGTGTACTAAAAATTGATCGTAAACTTGAAAGGAATCCGGATCGCTCCGGTTTACGAATAGAAGAATCCAAGGTGTTTCGGAACGCCACAAAGTACGGAATTTAGCTTAATTTCCCTGGCAGGTCATATTCTTCTTCCGGCGCTCCTCGACCTTCTTCATCGCGTCGGGCAGGACGGACTGCAAATCTTTGCCGTACTTGTTGGTACCGGCGCCAACAGCGGCAGCGATTAGCATGTCGGAGTGTTCTGGAAAAGGTATTATATACCTAGAATGTACCTTAAAACCCGTCAAGAACCGGCTTAAGGTTACGAGGTTCTTAAGAGCGCGAAATTTCCGGCTAAAATGCAGTCTAATCAGCCTCAATCTCAAATAATCTATGCTAGCCTAACTCTTAAATTTTTTGTACAATCATAAACATTTTTATTTATTTTTTACGAACCTGGGCAAACCTCAGCGAATTGAGGCAAGAAAGAAAGGGCATGGCGTGCGATCAGGCGGTCTTGGCACAGCAGTACGGAGACGTATGCTCCAATGATCTGGTCGACGGCCTGAAAACAGAATATTATTATTGTTCTCTCTCTCTCTCTCTCTCTCTCTCTCTCTCTCTCTTTCTCTCTCTCTTTCATACGACCACTGATTAGGCCATTAAATATTCTCTCCATTATCTCATACTTTTTAGGAAAAGCATTCCATTTATTGTCTGGCTACCAGCCCTGACCGCTTCTCCCTCACTAACCCATTCCGCCGACACTTTTTATGAATTGCCGATAAACCTGGGTGGGGAAGAAAATTATGGGCTAGTCGGCCTCGCTGACCCGTTTTGGTTCTGGGCTGGTAAAAGTCTAGCTAGAGAATTTGAGAAAAAGGTGTCTACGTCGAAATCGCAGAAATGGTGAATTTTTGGGTTTATTCGAACACGCCCTGAAAATACCGGGGCTTGACGAGAACGAGGATGCCTATTTACAATCGAAATTTTGACACCGAAGCTTTTTCTAACCCTGTAAAGCCTAGAAAAAGTTCACAATTAGATACCTTTGGGTCCTCCCTGATCATGTCCACAGCCGACTGAAAAGCGCTTGCCCGCACGCCAACAAAAGGGTTGGCGAAGAGAGGCAATAAGTATTTGCCGTAGTGCATCTGGGGCCTGGAAAGGAGCTGCATATTGTGGTAGCATACAGGTTCTGTAAGCCTCGTGGCTTATATACCAAAACTCCCCATGAAAAGCGAAAATCCAGACAGGAAACCCAAACCGGACCTGGCGCCTCTAATCAAATCATCCCATTATGACACGGATTTAGGTTTGGGGGTTGGCATTGGGAGGGGTAGAGGTGTTGGTGTTTTTTTGGGAGTTAAAGGGATGGTGCCAGCTGGCAGATTATCTTAAAGGGACTAGAAAGCGCCAGAATCGGCTCTTTTACAACTGCCAGGTGTCGCATCCGTGGCTTTATTAGAAGCGCTTTTGGCGCCACTCGTAGTTTTCGAGATCTAGTGCCCATCGGAGGTCGATTTTGACGGCCGCCTAGCTCATTTACAGCCACGGTAACCCGAAGCGCGCGTAAGCGTTGCTTTTGTAGGCAGAGGAGCGAAAATTCCGTGAGAATACTAATGACACTTTCCCGTTTGGACAGGTATTGTCAGTACTTACTTGGCCAGAATCATCGGCTCGGTGAACTCGCCGGAGGGCCGGTAGGTCTCGAATCGAGAGGCGAGGCTCATTCTGGAAATATGGATCTTAGGAAGTACAAAAAATCACGAAATATATTTGGAAAGTATCAAACAAACTCTATGAATATTGATTGTTTTGCAACTTGGAAAATCTATGGGATCTGACTTCACAATGTTTTTAAAACGCGGCATTACAAAACCAAGAAAGAGCAGTCTGGCCGCAGGGGCTGAAAACGGAATGCCAGCCAAGGCAATGAGAGACGCGTCTAGGGTGATTCACGATCGGTTGAATGAAAAGGAGGAAGGGCGGAGTCCGCCCTTCTCTCTCTCCTTCTCTCTTTCTTTCTTTTCTGTCTCTCTCTCTCTCTCTCTCTCTATCTCTCTCATGCCTTCAATGTCCCTTTAAAGAAACGGACACCGCTCAAGGACACTACTAGGGCATACAGTCAATCAAGTTCGGGTGGGGGAGCACGAGATCCATCTCCGTCCCGCCTGAGCAATCGAAAATATTTTCAGTTCTTTTTCTGATTGTAGGTTGGGTCAATGAGCAAAGCTGAAAGAGACGAGTGAGAGAGAGCGAGAGAGTGGGAGTGTGTGTGTGTGTGTGGGTGGTGTGGGCGGGCGTGGGTGTGTGTGTGTGTGGGTGTGTGTTGTGTTTTTTTTGTGCGGAGGAGAGAAACCTTAAGAAAGATGAGCGAGCAGTGGATTTGTTAATTGGTGCGGCACCAACCAAAATACACTTACTCGTAAAGAGGAAGAACGCGGAACTCGCATGTTGGAACACTCACTCCGACTCACGCCTAATTACGTTGTTTACAGGTGCCACCAGTAGTACGGCTGAGCTTGGGATGGCACGTTGGGATACATAGTAATCGAGAGGAAACGTGGAAATGCGCATTTAACGAAAAAATCTGGCATTTTAAGTCCCGAAGATTCTTTGCTATCCTGCTGAACCCAAACAAAATTTTCAACCTACAGTGAGCGCTTGGCCGTCTACACTTCACCCTTATATGCCAATCTGTAGAGCTCGAAAACCAACATCCCCGCCCCCTAAAAAACACCTTGACGCATGGTCGATTAGGCCACAGGAATGCCGCGTACTTTCCTTCGGCTCTGGGGACGCGCCCAAAATCAGCGCCCCGCCAAAATCCGATCACTAGGGGAGGAGAGGGAGAAAGAGCATCCACGGTTTATGGTCCATTAAGGAGGTGATTCGAGGGGAAATCCGGGGGTAATCCGGGTGAAGAAGACGATGATGTTGACAATCATTGATCGAGATTTTAGAAATCTGCTAAAAATAAATTTGCGCATTCATGTATTTCAATAGTTTTTCAGCGCTTACCGGTCACTTTAAAGGGCCTTGCAAGGCGAGATACAGCGAAGGGAGAGAGAGGCAGAGGGAGACAAGGAGAGAGAGAGAGAGAGAGACGAGAGAGAAAAAGAGAGAGACAGAGATAAGGCAAGAGAGCGAGAGAGAGAGAGAGACAGAGATAAGGCAAGGGAGCGAGAGAGAGAGATAGATAGAGTGCGTTGGCGCTCTATCAGCAACGAAATACTACACCTAACATTCTGCCACCAAACGGTCCATTGAATACTGTTTGCAATGCCAGGTGCAGCACCCGGACAATAGCCGGGCGACTGGGTGTGTTCCAGGCGAAAGGCGGCAAAAAAGTTCGGAGAAATACAGCTAATAGTTATATATAATGCCGTAGTTTTCAAGAGTTTGTTATCGTGATTGATAGATCGTTAAAAATTCAACACTCGAAAATTGGCAGCATGGAGTTTACCTAATTTTCTAGTTCTAATTCTAGTCCTGACCTAGTTCTAATTTTCTAGAATTTTCTAGACTACTTGCAGCACATTAGCGAAAGGCAGAAAATTCAGGAAAACAGAAAAAAAATGCTTGAAACGATGCATTAAGGAAAGCACTACGAATACCGTAATTTTATTCAAAAACCATTGGAAGAATTTACTAGAAACTGGCTATAATTGAGTACAACTTGACTACAGTTTTAGACGCGTTAATGAGATGCAGAAACCTGCGGGAATCAGTCGATCCATGGGAACCGAATTTACGCATTACTGAACGGACCTGAATACCGTAATTTTCACTAAAAAAATCCTAAACAAGATCCCAAGGTCCAAGGCCAAAAATAGCCCGGCCGAACGATACGGGGCTAGCATTTTCTAGGCGATAAACCACCCCGCGACCATCGCGTCTAGCGAAAAGCTATAAACCCAAGAGGGCGTGCGGGAGGGTGTATGTACAAAAAAGAGCAAAAAAGGGCTTTTCGGGAGGATGAGAAGGAGCAGGGAGGAGACCTGTGGCCCCTTCAGCGCGCCACCCCCATTTTTTCTGTTTGCCTAGCACGTTCCGGGCCAAGTGCCCCCTACCGATTCGTCAGCGGTTTCGACCAGGAATTTCGAGCTTGAACGGGTAGTAGTTTTTTGAAACTGGATAACAGTTTTTAAAAAGATAATGAACTCAAAAATCTAGGCAAATTCAAGAACCTGTAGCTAAAAACCGGCCCGACTTGTTGGCGTTTTCATAATTTTTTCTCCGGCCGTTTAAAGGGTTATTGAAGGCAGGGCGTCCATGTATTTTCATAGATGTATATCTATATTAAGGAACATGCTTTTAAGCCGTAAAGCTGGGTTTAAATTGTGAAAAAGTACCGACTTACCAGTTGGTAAAAACGATTTTTGGCCTTTCCTACCGATTCTTTGACCGACAGAAACCTTTGAAGGGTCGCAGACGACAGGAAGTCTATGGAAGTCCCTCAGGCACAGAGCGGTTGTCGCATTAATGAGAGCATATGGCAGGAAAATAACCTTTTTTCAGGCAACATAGCTCGAAAAATGGAACCAAAAGCACGGTTCCAAATTCAAGCTAGGTATGGTATTTATACCTTTAGTTCCCTCCGTTTTTATACGCAAAATCTGGCCGCCTAACTCCTATTAAAAACTACCAAAATCCCCCAAGCAAACTGGTCAAGTGCCCAGACCGACCATCGGATCATGGGGGTTTCGCCCCCCTCCAGTGGGTTTCGACGCTTTCAAGAACCATTCAAGGGGGTTGGGCACAATTTTTTGATCCTTGAGAAGTGGGTAATTATGTCGAGGCTCGGAATCGTGCTCTGACCCCGCAAAAAAACGGAGGCGACGGATTTAGAGACCAAACTCTCTGGCTTTCTCCACGGGTATTTCCGATTCTCAAAACTTTCGTGTTCGGTTTCAGCGTTTCACAAAATGGCGTAAAAGCCGAGTTCTTTCTGTTCAAAAGTGAGTGAACTCCGGGTACATTTTTTGCAAAGGGAAAAGCCCAAAAAATTACTCATCACCAGCCCCCTGCGTGGGTGTGCAGAGGAAAGTTGTGTATAGAACGGATTATTCGGAGGTAGTTAGGGTAGCCGTGGGAAGGGGTCAGCTTCACTTGCAGGGTAAAAATATCTGCACCCGAAAATGACCGGAAAAGGTCGAAAAACAATCTTAGAGCCAAAAAATTCTTTTCGTACGCATAAAATTGCTTGAAAGGCAAAAAACCGTGTGAGATGTTACGGTAATTCCTATAAAAACGAGCTAAATTGAAATTTGGGTGTAGCGTTGAATCTCCTAGTTAAAACACCAAATACGGATCTTAATAAAGAATTTATTGCAATTTAAAATCTTTAAAAATCACTAATAAATTTTACACTAACTCATCAAATCAGGATAAATCCTAATATTAAGCTTGAAGAGCCAAAAACATCGAGAAAAGATAAGTAAATGCGTAAAAGAAAGCTGGATAAGATAATTAAAATTTTGACGTTAATAGCTAATTAAATTAAACATTACATCAAATCGGCAAGTTAACTAGGGAAAACCGAGAGGTGAAAAAAATACAGTAATTTACAAGGTAACGGCGAAGAACTATGCACTACAAATCGCTACACCATAATTAATGCATAGAAAGGTAATTAAATAACTAAATCTGGCTTAAAAAGGACAATTCTGGTGCTCATCCCGACCCGGTCAAGGGATAATAATCAATAACGGCTCCTCCCCGATCAGGAGGAGGCTTTGCTAGCAGTCGGGGTGATGGGTGTGTGTGAGAGTCTCCGCTCGGTCTGATCGTCAGCTCCAAAAGAGGCACACAACAGCCAACACATTTGCAATTCCGCCCGGATACGAAAAGACACGATGGCTAACGGTCCCTCGCCCTCAATGTCGTCTACCCGGGACGGGGAAAGGGGTTCCACCCCTTTCCCTTTAAACGGCGCCCAAATTTTCCCGATTTTTTCGATTCTCTCCGGCGGCGGGGCGAGGTTGATTGGCACAATGACGATGGGGAGCATGAGCTGATGATGGGGTGATGGAAGGGCAACATTTTGTAGAATTTCCGGTGTATTTTTATCAAAAATAGTGAAAAGTTTCGGGTCTAAACTCACAGAAAAAATGTTTGCTAGCCTCCCATGACCCTGATTCTCCGCAAGTTCGTCTGCTAGTTAGTTCTGAAAAATTAGCAGCAAGACCACCGTTTTAAAACGAGAAGATTCCGAAAGAACCTCCGCTAGGCCGCCCCATCGTGGTCAGAGACTTCTCAAAAATTCTCTGCTAGTTGCCCTCTTGAAACCAAACCCAAATAACTTTAAAAATGGACCTTTAAAATAGTTACGAGAATTACTGCAAATTTTCCTCCAGAATCATTGCTAGCTTGTCGCACCAATTTTTAAGTTCCACAATGAATCACCGCCGGTCGCAAAGGTCGTTTTTCCAACTTCCCAACCAACTTTTTCCAAAGATTCTTTGATCGTTCCCCTCCTACAAAACATGATAAGCTAGCGGTTTAAAGATAATTTCTACAACTTTTCCGAGCCCTAACAAAAATTTCCGCAGAAACCTCTGCTAGCCGGCCCTAAGGCTCAATTCTGATGCCCGATGACCGGAACAATGCTGTAAACAGGTGCGGTATGAAATGAAGGCCGTCAACCGCAAGATTGGTTTCAGTTTTTGTGGCAAACGGACGGGGCACCACCATACGTTCGTTCCACTTCAACCCTTGCCCCCACGGTAATTGATAGCGGACACCCGAAACCGTCCGTTATTTGGAAAGGTGGAGGAAATCAAAAACCGCCTTGACAGGGGGCAGGTAGCAGAGAAAATTTGGGAAAGAAGAGAGACAAAAAGATAAAGAAATCCCTCAGAAGCAATTTTTGCTTGGCAGGTTAACAAGGGCCAACTCGCAGAGATTCTGGAGGAATCTGAAGCCAATCTGCTGCAAACTGAAGCTACATGAAAAAAATCCGTTTAAAAGAATAAACATGCTGTTTCAAAGGTGAAATAGCAAAGAAACCTGAGCAATTTCAGGTCCAAAAAGAATCAAAAAAAATAGAAGACGTCAGAGGCATTAATTTGGAAACCATTAAGCTGATTTGCAGCGCTATCAGCAAGCCGAAATCTGAGAAAGTGACGACGTAGTGTAGTGACCGCCAGCCTCAAAAAAAGTGTGAAGACATTCGAAATGTCAACCAGAAAAGGAAAAGCCGAAATTACTGCCCGAAATGAGGTGCGTGTGCGCGACGGAACCTTGAGGACTAAATGGGAGTGAATGAATGAAAGAAGAGAGAGAGAGAGAGAGAGAGAGAGAGAGAGAGAGAGAGAGAGAGAGGGAGAGGGAGAAGCCGAGAAACCAGTCCCTCCCCCTGTGGCACTCGACTCGCGGAGCTGGGGGTGAAGCCAAATATGGACAGAAGCTGAGAAAAAGAAAAGCCAGTCAAGGCAGGCAGACACGCCACAAATCAAAACGATTGTCTACGCCCTCGGAGGCAAAGAAGAGATATGGGCAATGAAACGTGGTAATCAGATTAACAACGTAATGAAGAAAAATGGGTCATTTGAAAAATGCTTCCTGGGCAGCATTACTCTATCTTTGGAAGTTTTCATCCATGTTTTATGCATCAACTTTTTGAATCTAGGCTATCTGGAAGCGGAAATATCCTTTTCTCCGTAGATTACCCAGTATAAAAGAAAATCCAGACCAACGACAGCCGATTCTCCAGCTCGGGGTCAGTGTCGACCCCGACTTCGAGCTGGACAAGGGCTCTCGCGGCACATGAGACAATGCCATTTTGCGCTTTTTATAGATACAAGAATGCCGTCAATTGCAAAAGCGGAGCGAAAAACAGTGAGTTTATGCGCTATGCAAAACTTGAGGCTTTTCTGTCCGTCCGAAAAGCCTATCCGTCAGAACCTGACGATCAGCGCCTTGATGTCGAAATGCGTATTATGAAAAATTTTTGAGGAAGCGTCTGATAAAGTATCGATTCGGCTTCCGGTCGAATCAGCCCCAAGGCTAGGAAAAGCGTCATAAATCAAGTTTCCGAATCCCTTTAAATCGAGGGAACTAAAAAAAAAACAAAGAAAAAACTATAGCTCGAACGCACAAATTAACAAATTCAAGGACTTCCGGTAATTACGTGGCGCCTCGGCCACCTAACCGATCCACTACACACGCGCACGCGAACAGCTGGTGGGGGTGCCACGCCCTGATGTTCGACGATCAGGATAAGGATTTTCTGGCTGCGGGTCTAATTCTCTCACTCTCTCCCCACGACATCATAAAGAAAAAGTCGCCCCACATCAAGTCGGTCTCCCCAGTGGATTCCAACGCAGGGCGGACCCCATTAGTCGTCAGGGACCGCATTTCGGATCAGCGACGCGCCCAAAATATCCCGAAAGTCTCCGCGACTTTTTTGTACCTTGTCAGCCGGTAATCGCCGAAGAATACGCACCCATTTGCGGGGCCAAACACCAAGATTTGGCTTGGCTCACCTGACAAACTGTAAAATGGTTGGCTGCGGAGTCATTCTTTATGAGTTCGCCGGAACGTCTAAAACATTTTTAGGTTCTTTCATATTGTCAGGAGAGTGCGATTTCCTAAAATTAGATGTCTAGTAATAATAAGGAATTCCAATGGTCTTTCTCAAGAAAGTTAGCTATATTTCAAGTGGAAAAGTACCCCTAAATGCTTAGAACAGTTTAAAAAAGCGAAATTTGATCAAAGACCTTTAAGTTTTGCATTTTTCCAAAATTTTTTTGAATTCACCTTGAAAACTGCACAAAGCATCATAAAAACACTTCCAATTTGACACTACTTCAATTGCTTCCAAAGGTAGTGCGAAAACCCTATTTTCATAATTGGCACTTTCCCCTCAATCAAATAAAATTCCATTTTTATTGCCGCTATTCGACTTCGGCCAGTCCACACATATAAAACCATATTATTACCGTACAACAACAACCACAGTGACGGGGGTAGTGAACAAATAAATAAATTACCAGGACACAAAAACAGCACTCAAGGTGTAAAGGAAAGCGCCCTTTAGCTGCTGCTGCTCGTCAACCTATATTGGCTTTTGGCGGGGGAGGATCACAGGAGAATTTTTGCGAGAGAGTGCGTGTGTAAAGGGTCCAAAGAAGAAGCTCGGAGAATACCGAAAAAAACAATTACTAGCAAAAATAGAGAGCGGGGTGAAATAGAAAAAGGAGAAAAGAGGAAAATTGGCTCAATTCGTCTTCTTTTCTTCGGGTGTGGGCTCGGCAACGGCTTCGGCGGCGGGTTCAGCAGCTTTTGCGGCGGCGGCAGCATCGATGGCCTTCTGCTCCTCTTCAGTGAGTGGGACTCCAGTCGGGTGTTCGCCGGACGTGCCGAACTCGTTGGTGCGCTTCGGGTCGACGCGGTAGGCCCAACTAAAAAGTACATTAATAAGTCGAACAAGCACACCGGTAAATTTTCTTCTAAAAAAACTCCAAACTATGGCTTTTGCATTAGCAGGGGGGCAAGGCTGCAGAATTGTTTCTACACGGTTTTTTTACCATGCAAAAACGTGACAATATTACAAAATCTACAATACAAAAATGGTGATTTTCTACTCAGTTTCTAATGTCAAGGTTTTTGCGATAATTTTACCGCTTTAAAGTGTCCATAAATTACGAAAAACACTATTAAATACATATTGTTACTTTATAAGACGAATCTAGAGATCTCGGGGAAAAATCGGCACCTCCCCCCGATAATGCAACAGAACCGGACAATTGTATAAAAATCCCAACCGTTGATACAAATACACGAGGAAGACAATGTCATCACGGAAGCATCCGATCCGGTACATCGTCGGCATCTTGATGACGAACGCGAAGAGATCATCGATGAACGTATTGATGAACTTGTACGACAGCATGCGCCACGGCAAATGGGCAACAGATCTGAAAAGCAAAGTATACGAAAATTCATTGAAATTTACTTCAATTTATAGTTGATGAAAAGCTGCGGGGTCATCGTGATGAAGCCGAAGGTGAGGAGGAACCCGTAGAGCATCGAGAGAACGAACGAATACCAGCCCTAAAAAGGAATTACCTTAAAATAAGTGGAAAATTACCCTATGCTCGTTGTACATCACCGAATAGACGGCATATCCGCCGAGAAGCGGGAACAGCAGCCAGGAGAGGTATCTAAAACTTGATGTAACGGTAAAAAATCGGACAAACCCTTACTTGAAAGCCATCTGATCGTAGACCTTGGTATCACTCTCCAGATACGAGCCCTTGTCAGCGAAATTGAGGCGCGGAATGATGCCGAAATACTTGTTCTGATAATCGACCGTCACGTCCATGACCTAAACAAGGTTATATAAGCTTCAAGCTGTAAGTTACCTTTTGAATCTTCCACATCTCAATGATCAGCCCCACAAACACGGAGCACTTGATCACAAAGTTGGTGTCATTGTCGCAAATGTAGAGGAACACGATGGCAGACTAAAGTAAAAGAATTCTTTACAAAAAAAAACGTCAAAATAGTACCTGGAAAATTCCGAACACCACCGAACGAACGGACAGGCCCTCGAGCGACTTGCGGGAGCGCCAGAATTGGATGTCATTCTGAAAACACAATTTATAACATTTAATCCGTTTTTTACCTTGAAAGCGAGGAACTCGAAAACGGTGTGCAGCAACGACACGACGACGGTGATGCCGAGGAGGTAAGGAGAAGTCTCGAGGAGGGCCTAAAAAGCCAGATTTAAAAATTCCAGGCGAATTTTACTTGTTTGATCTGATCCTGATCATCTCCAGCAGCATCGTCCTCAAAGAAATCGCCTGACATCAGGCTGCTCCACTTGTTACGCATCTAGAAAGAACGAGATCTCAGGTTGAAATCGCTAATTTTACCTGTTGACTGGCATAAAGCTGATACTTGAAGAGCGACATAGGAGAGAAGGTCAGCGTGAGATTGACCTCCTTGACGGTGTCGTTAATCGGCTGAAAGAAAATTACTTATTGCCAAAATAGCCACAAAAAGCTTACCTGATAATCGGCGCCCAAATTCCAGTAGTTGTTGAAGAACAGAATCGGCTTGTAGAACATTCCGGTCGGGTCGAATTTGACGGCCTCATCAAGAGGTGCCGGCAAGCTGCCCTTGCTCCAGTTTGTCTGATCGTCCACGAGATTGATCGTCAGATTTGGGTGCCAAAAGTTGAGGACCTAGAAAATGGATCGTATCGAAAAAGACGGAAATCACCTCGAATTTCATAACCTCAGCCTTGGCCAGCTCCTCGTCGGTTTTATCCGACTTTCCGGTGATCAAATTGGCCGTCTTCTTGTAGAACTTCTTCTTGTACTTATTCAGCTGCTGGTTGCCGTAGATCACTTCACGCTTCACGTAGCTTCGGTCCTTCGGGTTCGGGCTTTGGCCGCTCTACAAAAACAGAGATTTCTTAGAGGAATAACAGCACGATACTTACCTTTGTGACAAAAACGTGAAGATACAGCGAGCCGTTGTTTTGAAGGGATTCCGGTGTCGGGAAGGTTTTCGCAATCTCGAATGAACCATCCTAAACAGAAAAATAATAGCTTTTCACGGAAATAACTTACATTATTAGGTCCTCCCTCCCATGATCCGTATTTGATTCCGAGCTCCTGCCAAAAGGGCGTCTCATCAAACAGTTCGAAGCGGCTTTCTTCAGGACTAACACAAAGATAATCTCTATAACAGAAACTAGCTCTTTACCTCAAATACATGTAGAAATCGTAGAGTTGACCGACTGGGAACAGATTCCGGGACGGCGGGAATCGAGCCCCGCCGGCTGCTGCTGGAGCGGTCGAATTTCCTTGGCCTTGGCCGCCACCTAAAAAATTGGGGTTGTTCAGAAATAAAAAGCGAAACATACCTGTAAACCCCTTCAACAACGAGCTGACACACCAGAAGAAGAACATGTTGCGCAGCATCCCCTTCAGCATGCCCCACATACCGGGCTAAAAACGTTTGTTATGTAAAAATAAAGCGTTTTCGAACCTGTTCCGCGGGTGCGGCAGCAGCTGCATCACCGCCGGCAGCTGGCGCCACCTGGTCGGCCATAGTTTTACCCTCTGAAAAGGAAAAATAGCTCTTTTGAATCAAAATGGAAGAAGTAGGAAGAAGGAAAACCGGAGCAAGCGTTGAAATGAAGCCAATTTCATGTTTCTCGCACACAAAATTGCCAGAAAAGGCCAAGATTGTTAGGCAACTAAACACTTTGATAATCAAGAAAGCCGAGACAAACCAGTTCGAAAATTTGACGTTTTAAAATATAGCTTTCAAGTCGCTATTATTTAGAGGTTAATTTTACAATGTATATTTCGAAAATTATCAGAAAAAGGGAGGTTTAGGTCGAAAGTACAGTTCTAGTTTCGAACACGACGATTTTTGGCCAACGGTAAAACAGTATAGTCTCAAAACAACCCAATCAACCCCGGCTTTTCCCACGAGTTCACCGGGGTTACCGGGGCCATAATCATTTCCCAATTTCGGCCCCTTTTCGAATGCGCGCGGGTCCCGCCACGGTCCCCTGGCAACGACACCAAGCCATGGCGGCTCGATTTAATCTGCCCGACCCCTTTAGCACCGGTCAAGCTTTTCGTTGCGTAATTTATACCTTTGGCGTTCGATTTTTATTAATTTTCAAAGTTTATAACGTTATCTAACCTGTTAGGAAGTTAATAGTGATGTCGGGGCGTTGATTTTGTGCATACAACCACTCAAAACCCCCAGTGAAAATTATGAAATCATTCATACTAATCACACATTCGTTTTCAAAGGATATCATCGCGATTTTCTTTAGTTAAAACGATACAAATAAGGTGTGTAAAAGAAACATAATTAGTAGCGGCAGAAATTCATAAGTCCAAATATCTATTGCTCTAGTTTTACAACAAATATGGTTTTTCATTAACCTCCAAACAATCGGTTTTAGCGATTAAGACTTATGAAAAAGGTTAAGAAACGGGAATTAAGCACCTCTCTGAAGAATCAACTATATATGGAAGATCAGTGGGGCTAATTTGAAGTCGCTTGGTTCTTCACACCCTCCGGAAGCTCATTGGTATTCACTATGCAGTATGTGATATCGATCCAATGCCTAATCGCAGTTTCGCGATGTTTACTTCTTCCTTACTTGTGTTCCTCTACATCACATTTTCTCAAAATCTTTCCATCAACAAACTGAAAATGACAAAACCGGAATCCCTTGCAGAGCCGGGTAGTCATTCCAACCACCAGGACATGTTCTACGCCCAATTTGTGCTCTCGAAAAAGGGGCCGCTGTCGAAGATCTGGCTCGCGGCCCATTGGGAGAAAAAGCTTTCTAAAGCCCAGATCTACGAGACTAATGTCCAGGATGCTTGTGATGAGATCATACAACCGAAGGTATGTTTATGACGGAAAATACAGTTTGGTGGCATCATTCGTTATGATGAAGGGAGTTTCTTTAAAAGCGAATCAAATTATAAAATAATATTATCATGTTCGAGAAATAACCTAAAGTTGTAAAATTTCAGGGCAAAATGGCCTTACGTACCACCGGCCATCTCCTGCTTGGTATCGTCCGGATCTACTCGAGAAAAGCCAAATATCTACTAGCGGACTGTAATGAAGCGTTTTTGAAGATCAAGGTAGTTATGAAGGTCGATAAGCCAGTTATTAACTAAAATACCTTTTATAAAACTGATTTTCAGATGGCGTTCCGCCCCGGAATGGCCGCTGACGCTTTTGAGGATAATTCTGACATCAACACACCGGCTATCCAACTGCCAGAGGTAAGTAACAAAACAGAAAATGATGCCTGTGACCAAGGACCTTCAAAATTTGAAAATATGGGAGCTGGTTTCAGGTTTATACCGATTTCGACTCTGCCCTACCCGACTTCAACGACATTGATCTGCAGCACCAGCTCCACATTAACCAGAGCCGAATCGATGACATCACGCTAAAGGAGGATCTGGCAGTCGATTCCAATGCTTTTGGCAATGATTTTATGGTATTTTATAACGGTGTACATTACGCTACTATCGACAAACTAGAATTGAAAGCTTAAACAGTAGCGAAAGACTTAGAAATTTCTAACTATTGAGGCGAGATGAGGAATTAGCTAAAGTGAAGGACAATAACGTGTATTTTCAGATGGACGATTTCGGAGAATCCAAGCTTGGAGGCGGCGGCTTGAACTTCGATTTTGACGATAATTTCGGACTGCTGGCTCCCGGAGAGGATATGGAACAGATCAGAGATGCTTCCGGTGTTCATGTGCCGAATGTATCCCGAGGGTAAGTTAAGAAAATCGATTTTCTGGAGCTTAAGGCCGTACAAAGAACCGTTGAGGGGGTAATCTACACTAGAATGCAGCAAAATACCTTGTTGAACCGGTACTGTTGCAGTGACATTCGAGAACCGACTCCAAGTTTGGAAGGAGCTCGTGCTCCTGGGGCTAACGTCTTCGAGGATGACGATATTGGAGGAGTAGACGATTTTGATGATATGGATGAGAGAAGTGAGTTCCTTCGTTCCTCCTCTTTCCCCTCTCTCTCTCTCTCTCTCTCTCTCTCTCTCTCTCGCTCTCTCTCGCTCTCTCCCCCTCTTGCTCAGAGCCTAATGAAACTATCTTTTTAGTGAGCATCTTCAACGAGAATCAAAACCATATGGAGATTGATGCTCCTGGAGCTGAGATGCCGGATGATATGGGAGGGAGGCCGATGGATATGAGTACGTTTCATAACGAATCGCACGATAGTTGCCTACCTCAGCTTAAATACTTATTCTTAAAGATACAAGTTTTAATGATAACTATAATAGTTTTAATCACACGTAATCATGCATTTACAGCCTCCGAAGCCGGAACCGAAAGCTATACCATCGGACAAATGGACGCCAGCTCAACAATCACGGAAGTCAGGCGTGTAGGCAGACCCCGAAAGCGTAGACTCATCATCGATGAACCGAAAAATATCACGTAAGGGCAGTTCTATACTAAATTTAGCAGTTTTTTGTGAATTTAAAAGCCCTTTATAACGTTTTCATAACGACGTATTACGCTTTTTTTAGTGGCGACGAGATGAAATCACAAATGGCCAACTACACCGACACCCTGCAGCCTCTTGATTTGGCACCGCCGACGCGGAAATTGATGAAACTCAGGTTTGTTCGAAGCCTTGGAATGGCTACTGTTTCCCTTCCCCCCCCCCCCCCCCTTTAATCTTTATATTTTTTATTTTTTTTTTTTTTAAAATAAAATAAAAACTATATTTTTTTTTTTTCCCCCCCTTTTCTAGGGTGGCTAAACCCAAAAAAAAAAAAAAAAAAAAAAAAAAAAAAATTTACGCCCCCCCCGGGGGGGGGGGGGGGAAAATAAACCCCCACCCTTGGAACATTTATCGCTTAAGTTTTACTGTATTTTTAGTGTTTCTTAGTTCGTAACGTAGCGCTTTGCGCGGCTAGCTTTACCTAAGCGTCGCTTAGTAAGCCACAAACCCATTTTTTTCAGGGAATGCGGAAACGTCGAGAAACTCTACCACCAGCCCGGCAGTGAAACGATCAGGGCAAAGCCGTTGGTCAAGGTAAGTTAATGATAAGTAGCTATGGCTTTTGAATATGATCTAGAACACCTTACATTTTAATTACGTCTAGAGGCGTCATTTTCGCTTTAAAAATTACTGATTTCTGGGTTGCATAACCTGCGACATGCGATATTTACAGTTCTACCAATGTTGCCTCGTGCCGCACGTCAGGACTCAAGAAGAGCCAGCAGATATCCGTAGAGAGTTAGAGATGTCGGACACCGTTGACGATACCGATGCCATCAGCCAATCGGTGGTAGGTTGTTTCGATTTAAAAGTTACGGTAGCACACGTTACGATACGTTACTCACTACGCCTCGATACACTGTACAGATCCCGCACTAAAGTTTGCAACAACGCGTTGTTTTGGAAGGTGATAACGAACGTAGGGAAACGCTTTAATGGAGACTTTTATGGGCTTTGATATTCATTTTCCGAACAGTCCCCCGAATTTCTTACACATATCTGTGCCAAAAATCATCATCAGGCGCTGGGTGTGAGTGATCATGCCGTGGGTATTGTGATTCAGCCAGGTGCCAGGTAACGGCCGCGTCGAACGAGCTGGACTGTACAAAGGGGTCTCCGCGCGTTTTTGCAGACCCTACTAACCACTGACTGGGTCGATTGGTAGCCTTATAGCTTTCGCTTTCTCTCTGACACTCTCTGTCCCCCCCCTCTCTCTCTCCCTCTTTTGCTCCTATCCCTCACTCTATCTCGCACTCTCTCTTTCTCTCTCACTCTCTCACACTTTAACTCTCTCTCTTTCTCTCTCTCTTTCTCTCTCTCATTCGCTCTCTCTGCCTCGCTCTCTCTCTCTCACTCTCGCTCTTTCTCTCTATGTCTCACTTTATCACTCTAGCTCTCTCTCTCTATCTAAATAGGTTACGAAAAATGAATGAAAAATAGGTTAAATGAACCTGATCTCCCCATCTCCAAATTCTTGGTCCAAATTTTCCCCTCGACCCCCAGCAAACATTTGGTTGAGTAACGGAATGTACCCCCAGGGCACAATAGGTAACCAAGAGGGAGGGATTGATATCGGAAACGGAAAGAAGAGAGGGAGAGAGGCGAGGAGATGGTCGTGTATAATGAATGGGGGTGGACGGTATGTGTTTGCTCTCAACACATCCACACCCTTCCTCCGATATATCGAAAGGCCCAACATCACATCTACGATAGTTCGTGGAGGTGGTTACGGTATGGAATGAGAGATGAGAGAGATAGAGAGAGAGAGAGAGAGCGAAGGAGAAGGGGTGAGAAAACGAGAATTGCAGAGATAAATACATGCAGTGAGGTGGGTGTGTGTAGTGAGAGAAAGAGAGAGAGAGAGAGAGAGAGAGAGAGAGAGAGAGAGAGAGATTAGGAAGTAACGAGAAAGAGCGAGAGAGTGAGAAAACGGGGGGGGTGAGAGTGAGCGATAACCTGTGTCAATGAGAGAACGCGAAAGTGACAAAGGGAGAGAAGGTCACGTAAGAGAGCGGCAGAGAGCTAGGAAATTGCGAGAGAGCGCAAGATTAATAGATTTCAATCCAGAGCATAGAGAGCAAGTGATCACGAGAATTAAGTCTGATTTCTACTAAAAAAGCTTAAGTAACTTTTTTAGCGAACTTTCGAGTAATTGTGTTGTGTTTCTGAATTTTCGTAAGTCCCGATCTAAAATAACAACTCCAACATCCTCTATATATCCAACATAGTGCCCCATCTGGCCTTGCGGGTCTCCGATGGGTCCTTGTCCTCCTTTAGCTGCCCATCTGTCGACTGTCCATTTCACACCTCCTTCCATATTATTCTCGGAGGCACCTCCTTCCATGTCTCCCAATTGTGCAATGCGATTATGCAATCGAGAGCCGGGAGCTAGATTGCTACGCTCCATTCCTTTACACGCGGGCGTGAACATGCCTATTAGGATACTTGAGTTGGTTCGATAACAGCGAGCAAGACCTTTACTAAGGAGTACGAAAATACCCGCAACACATCGCCCAGATACGGTAGTCTAAAGTCATGGTTAAACCGGAAATTGCGATTCGCACGGCCTCAGGCAACGGCTGTTGTTATTTCAATTGGCATAGTTGTAGTTCGTACTTCGTATCTGAAAGTTTAGCCACAGTAATCTAGGTATACTCATTTAACTGCCAGTCCCTGTCAATTTTCCACTATTTCCAAATCCTAGCTGGTCCCTCCGACCAACAATTTGTGAGGGAGATAGCCATCTAAATCCGTGTGTCAACCTCCCCCTGTGTTACCTGTTGACCTATGGTAATTAGGAGGTTGTTTGGTGGCAGTAGTGGTGGTTGTAGCAGTGGCTGATTAGCGTGTCGAGACATAATCCGCTAGCACTTGCGCCCCTAGCGGTGATGCGAGCAGGGCATGCCTGGTCGACCGGAAATTTATAATAAGGGTTCTAGGAGGTCAATATTTGTGTTTTCAAATGTGTTAATTAAGACCTAAATATTGTAATATTGCTTTTGAAATATTTTGTGGCCTGTTTTCTGCTGATCTGGGCCTATAAACCTTCCAAAAGCATGAAGATCGAATCTTGCAGGTATCTGATAGTCAAAAAAAATCCGGCTTTTAGTTTTTTTGTTAAATAAGGAGATGCGTAAATTGTAGTTTTACCTCTCTCGCTTTCTTTCTCTCTCTCTCTCTCTCTCTCTCTCTCTCTCTCTCTCTCTCTCGCTTTCTCTCTCTCACTCTCTCTCTCTCTCGCTGTCTCCGTCTCGCTCTCTATCTTTCTCGCTTTTTTTTCTCTCGCTCTCGCTTCACTCTCTTTCTCTTGCTCTCACTTGTTCTCTCTCTATCTCGCTTTCCGTTTTCCTACCTTTAAAAGTCTTTATTTTTAGTCGGAAATTCCAACACCCCCCTTTTCACCTCCCTGAAAAATACAGCCAGATTATGTGCGGGTGGTTGCGTAGGGCCGGGGCTAGTCGATTGTGAAGGGATGTCGTGGATGGATGGCCAGGGGAAGGCATACCGGGCAGGGAGGCAAGGATACGGTAGCCTGAGCTGATTATGGGATTTGGGAGGGGCTAGGTCTAGTACCTATCCGTGTGAGCGATGTGGACGGGCATGGGATAAGTGTCACCGAGAAAGCTTGACGCTGGGAATACGGTAGTTCGATTATCGATTTTTGCATCAATTAAGCTTACCGTAAGCCAGATAATACGGTAACCTTGCCTAACGTAAGGATATACGAAATTAGATGAAATCAACAAAATCTAGCAATACCCATTTCAACCAAATTTTAATTATTTTCCCGTCCCCCCGCGGGAATCCTTTGAACGGTTTGAATGGGAGGTTATTCGGTGAAGTCAGCAGGCAAGGCCACCCACAACCACCACGATGCGTCTATTTATTTGTTCTACTCTACGTCGACGCGTGCCGTCTTTGCCCATTTACGGATTTATGGCAGGCGGGGCGGAATTTTCTTTTGATGGCTTCAAAATGGGCCGCAGTCCGAGAGGAGAGGGGGGCGAGAGAAAGAGAGTGACGGGAAGAGTCGGGGAGGCGATGAGGTAAAAAGGTAATTGACGTAGGGCGATAAGATAGACAGAGACACAGAGAGAGAGACATAGAGAGAGAGAGAGAGAGAGAGAGAGAGAGAGAGAGCGGGCGAGGCAGAGGTACAAAGATAAATGATGTGGTTGAGAGTTGCGAAACTCCATAGAGCTCCGGAGTGAGAGTAAGCGAAGAGAAAGATGGGAAAAAAGCAAGAGCAAGAGCTAGAAAGAGAGAGAGAGAGAGAGCGAGAGAAAGCGAGCAAGAGAGCGAAACCAAAAAGATACCTTAGAACGCTAAAATCCTTCACGTTTATTTCAAGGTCAATTCCACTTTTTTCAACCCCTCCACCAGGCCGATCACATAATTATGATCGGTGGCGGGGGCCTTGAGGCGTCTAGGTTTTGATGCGAGAGAGAGAGAGAGAGAGAAAGAGAGAGAAAGGCAAAAATGATGATGTGAGGGTCAATGGTACCGGCGGCTGACCGTTTGTGCCAGCCGTCCCGTGGGCTGCTGCTCCTTTCCGGCCAATTTGAATACGGGATTGCTTCGGTTGGTTTCGAGATGATGCGGCGGTCACCTTTGGGTGGATTGACGGGGCGATGGGTACGGTAATGAGGGTCATCAAATAGAAAAAGATGCAAGATGCGTGGATGCGTTGAGTCGGCTGTAGATCAATGAGACCCCTACCCTGTAACCGTAAAATCTTGATGTTTAACACGTGGTGGGATTTAGTGTATGCTGCCAAGAAAATTTGAACAACTGAACTCAACCTGAACTCATTTTTCTAACCCCCATCCTCTAGACGGTAGCTGCCACCAATTCCACGCTATACTGCGGTAACCGTGGCTATTTGCCCATCCTATTATCCCCCCACCTGATGATGCTCGGGTCAGTCACCAGCTAGTGTAGACTGGTAGCCCGATAAGTTGTATATATTTGTTTGCAGACAACCTGGTAGAGTACGTGTCAATCCGGGCTGATCCTATACACAGGCGTTATTTGCTAGCTCATGTGGCCTGGAGGGTGTAGTATTAGGTGACCAGCTGAGATGTTTGTTGAGGTATCTAGGTATCTGAAGGCATATAGGACGAAAGCTACTAGATCAGAGCTCTTAAAATATTTTCCGAGTCCCTGACTTCCCTGCCCGCATCCGGCGATTGGTCCAAACTGGGTCCACATGCCCTTCCTTCCATCTTTCCCTCTTCCTCATCCACAGTTTCAACTCTCCGTCTTCGGCCTGTTTTGGGGGTGTCTCCAGGTAGTGTGAAGACTCTTGACCTCACCCTCGCAGAGTACAGAGGCATCCTACCGACAGCAGCCACCGCTACTGCCCCTTGGCCCACTTTCTCGGGAGAGACTGGAAGACTGGAAACCGTGACTTTTGGGAAGGACTTTAGGAGGACAGGGAGAGAAAGATAGATAGAGAGAGCGAGAGAGAGAGAGAGAAAGAGAGAGAAAGAGAGAGAGAGAGAGAGAGAGAGAGGGAGAGGGCAGGGAATTGAAAGGAAATGAGAGTCGCAGGTAGTATTATCATCCGCCGTAAAAACTGAAGTTGGGTTAAATAATTGAAAGACATACCTTAAATAACTGCTAAAATATAACTAAATTGAAGTTTAACGAAATAGTGTAGGTAAACGAAACAATAGGTAAAAAGTGTTATAATCCTCATTTCCAGACCCAACCCGACTTTGATGACTTCGACATGGGCGGCTTCGACGATCAACCATTCGACAATGATCCGACCCCAATGGCCATGGCAGATCCGGTCCAGGATGAACCGGCGGATACGGTAAGTTTTAAGTTTGAATTCAGGGATTTGCGTAATCTGAGGAATCATGAATTCAACCTTTTTTGTCTTACTTCATCTCTCCCTTCAGAGCCTCGAAGAGAAAAAGGAGGACCGCGAGGACGGCAAGTCGAAGAAGGAGCGCAGAAGTCGGCAGGTGCAGGAGGTACAGTTTGTAATCATCTTTGCAGTTTTCACGGCGCGTTTAAGCGTGATTTATAGCCTCTTGTAGCCATAATCACGAGCCGCCGTTACCGTAGTCGAGCAGCTTTTTTCTCTCAGCTACTTCCGCGTGTAAACAAATAGAGGGCACACGCCTGTGTGGGCTTGATGTTTGAGAAAACAGATTATTGCGTCGTTTATGACCCTGAAATGGGGAGCCTAGAAGGTACTGTAGCCCGTTGATTTAGGCAAAAATGGGTGTAAAATAGGCAAAAACGTTACTATAGCTTATATACGGGACTTACTGGGCTACTGTAACGTTTTAACTCCTTACTAAGATCATATTTAAGGAGGAAGACCTTGGCGAAGGGGATGAGGAGCACCGATTCACAAAACGTACCCAGAACGTGTTGCACTCGATTGCGCAAAAGCTGAGGTCGAGCGGCGAGGATCAGGTAATTATTGAATAGCTTTAATAGCCTGCTATTAAAAATTAGCGCACTGTAGGCTTCATCGCCGATTTTCCGATTTTTTCCACATTTCCGCAAGCAATTTTTTTTATCAGAACAAATGTCCCATGATTCAGCTTTCAAAATATCATTTGAAACTCGTCCCTTTTCCCCAAAACCATTCTTCACCGAAATCTTGTTACCCCCAGGATAGGCGTGTGCGTCTGTCAGTCTGTTCTCTGTATGTGTCGGCCTCCCCTTCCAGGATTTACCACCGGTCCCCCAATTTGCATAATCGCCTCTCTTCCTCGGGCTCTACGGCGCCTCGACCGACCCCTGGGTGGATCCTCGAGCCCTAGCCCGAGCCTAGAACCTACACAGTCCGCCTATCCACAGCCTCTTAAAGGTCACATCCCCCTCGATCCAGGCATGGTGGCCTTCAGCCTCACGGCCTAAACAATTGGACACGGGCGTGTAACCGCATGAGATGAGATTGGTTTAGGTTTCGGGATCAGCAGATTGGGAATGCCAGTTTTGGGCGAATTAAAGGGGCAGAGACAGGTACACTTAGAGGCTGGACGCTTGAGCTCACCGTATCTTAGGGTTTTTTCTTTTTCTTGCTTTTTTCTTAAGGGTTACGTAACCCAACTTGTTGTGCCGGCATTTAAATATCTCTAAAAAGATTTTTCTTGGCCCCCATTTTTCTTATCTTCCTTCCCCACCCACCCAAACTAGCGGGTTTTTCGGGCTAGATTTATAAGGAGTGCGATGAGGATTCTCGAGGCTAGAAACTGAGAGAGAGAGAGAGAGAGAGAGAGACGCAGAGAGGGCAAGGACAAGGACGGGTCCCTCAAGCACCTCAAGACTTGAGTGGCCAGCCATAGTCGACCTCCCCGAAATGGACATCAAGACCTAGAAAAATCCATATGCGCAGATCTCTTGATCATTTAAAGGGAGTTGTGAAGGCAAAAACAAGATAGAGAATTTGTCAGTCGATCCAGTCTGAATCGATAGAGAAGCGCTAAATGCCGGTTTTTTTAAATTGGTGAGCTTCCGGTCCTTTAAATCTAGAGAAAAATATTTTCGTATACCTTGCGGTCCCTTAAATTCATGTATAACTATACTGCACAGTCATGTTTTCCCGATCACCCCTGCCTGTAGCAGCCAGCCACCGTCAGGAAATGGGGAGGGGGGTACAGCCCATTTTCACGGCCCATTGCTCGGTCACGGGAATGCCGAGAGGTGGTTCGCCTCGGGAGCCTATCACTGCAGCGTTTTTGCTAATTTTTGTACGTTGTAGTGAGTCATTGTGGGATAAACGGTAACGTTTGGAAAAACAGATAAAAATTGGTTACGGTAGCGTTACAGTAACGCCTTAAAGGGGTTGGGAAGCGCGCGAATCGGCCCAAGCGTTTGGCTAGGTCTAGACAGTTATGAAGGTGCCAAAATATGCCCAAAAATGTGGATTTTCTATGCTTTCTATGAGCGCATAGCAGTGAAGCGTAGTTGTCAAGACCAGTCGCATGTAGAGGCCGGATCTAGCACTTTAGAAGCAAAAGAACACGTTTAAAACGCACCAACATCCCGAAATTTGTCTTCACATCCCTTTAAAACCCCAAAATAAATGTCATTGTCTCAGATCCTCCTCTCCGACATGCTGACCAAGGCGTCGAACAAGAAGACAGCCGCGCAGAAGTTCTACACGCTGCTGGTGCTCAAGAAGTGGCAGGCGATCGAGGTGGCCCAGGGCAAACCCTTCGACGACATCTCCATCACGTCGGGGCCCAAGTTGGACGAGTCGTTGGCGCATTAATGATAGCTTATTTACCGTAAAAAAAAGTGTAATGTGTAGCCGAACAGATTTTTTGGCGGCAAATCATTTAACACCATTTAACGCCAAATTTCTGAAAACAATTTTGCTACCGTTAATGTTGTGCCAACTTGATGTGTCTACCTATTTTTGGAGAATCTCCCTTTCCATGTGATTATCGCCAAAAAAGCTTTTCCTCTGTTTTTCCGTATTTTCGCAATGCTCCGCATTCCACACCTACCGTACCCTCCAATCCTCCCTCCACCACCCAAGCCAAACTATGTCAACCGTGTGCATTTAGTCCGCCGCAACCAGCCTCAAAATTGGTGTATTTTCTAAAAAAAGGCTCTGTTTTTTAATTCAACACTTTTCTCTGCCAATACTTAATTTATGAAGTGAATTAATTTGTGCCCCTATTTTTTCACATTTTCACGATCTCCTTTTTTGTAAAAGCTAAGCATGTACGCACCAAAACTTGTATATTTATTTTTTATAATAAAGCTTAACACTGGATTTTGTAAACACGATCATTTTGTAACGTTTACGCATTACGAAAGCAGCGAGAGAAAGAGAGAGAGAGAGAAAGCGCGAGAGAGAGAGAGGGAGGGAGAGAGAAAGAGACAAAATGACGGAGATATAGCTCCAGTAACTCTCTGATAAACCGTACTGCGTCGTACAGCGTACTTTTTGGTACAAAGTACTTTGGGATACGGAGTACGGTATGGTGCAGCTTACTGTAGCGTGAAGAGTACTATGTCGTACAGCATCCGATAGCGTAGAGCGTACTGTACCGTACTTCGTACATCACGTACATCTTAATATAATGGCAGCTTCGAAAGTTCTCTACTCTTCCTGCCTTCCCAGTCCCTTTAATGAACCCAAAATCAGCCTTGTCCAAGCTAGGCCACTCCCCATTTAGCCAACGGAAGGGCACTGGGTGTACGCTGCGCTCCTTTCAACGGCTTTCATGGCACGCCGACCACATCCATCCATCCATCCAAATAGAGACACTACATACACAACCCATCATCCATCTCTTTCCTGCTGCACGGCCCCCCTAACGAGAATGGCCATTTCTATAAAATGACACATCTGAAATTCAGAGTGTCCGCGGGGGCGATAGCTTACGGTGGAATTGGCAGTAATTAGGGTTTTGGGCAAAACAGTACAAATCCGTGGGTAGCGGAGATCCTTGCGGAAAGTCTGCTTGGATTGGGCTGATTTTAAAGGGACTATGAAGTGAAAGCTTCTTGGCTCGCCGAGAAAAAGCGGAAGGGCAAACTAGCAGAGATCTTTCGGGAATTGTCTCACCTCTTTTCAGCGATTTTCATCGGCATGCTAGCAGAGATTCTTGGCCAATCTGGGGCGACAGAAAATAGGTAATCGGGTCATGAAGGCTAGGGCATACCAGCAAGGCTTCCTTAGGAAATTTCATCAGTCACAACAAGGACAGGCTAGCAGAGATTCTTTGCGAAATCGCGTAAGCCAAAGCTAGCGGAGAGGGTATAGGAAAAGCGCAAAAACCACACTAAACCACTAGAATGCCTTTAATAAGTTAAACAATTAAAACGAGGGCGAGCTGGCAGGGATTCTTTGAGGAATCGGATAATTTTTTTAGGGCATACCAGCAGAGGTTCTTTAAGCAATCTCCGCATCGAAAGAAAGGGCAATCGAGCACAGATTCTTGGAAAAACCGCATTAGCATCCTGCTCCTCGTCATCTCCATCTCAAGCTCCTCCTCCTCCTCGTCGTCGTCGTAACTCCCTATAGAAGCACAAGCTTGGAGCTATGGCCGAGAGGAGGGCCTCCTCCCTTTTCAAAGCGAATACAAAAGGGTGAATGGAGACCCATAGTGAGGGGAGAAGAAGGGGAAGGGAGGGGGATGTGGAAGACGAATGGAGCGGTGGATTGAAAAGAAACAATGCTTGGTAATGATTGGGAGGAGGAGAAGGAGGAGGCTTGGCTTGGAAAAGGGAGGCAGCCACCACCACCAGCACACCGCACAATGGAATCGAATGGACCAAGGATGGCTCGGCTCCGGCTCTTCTAGAACCACCACCACTACCATTGCCATACATTAGGCCCTTTTTTAGTTTGTTTTAGCCTTATATACGCTTTTAACGTACTCCGGAATTCGAGATTTCTGCCACGAGAAAAGTCGTTTTTTAGCTATTTATTCGGTATATTTATTTTTAGAGCAAAACGCGTCATACACTTTTTTATGCTTATTTTTTTCGGTATCCTTTTCTGCTTCAATTTTTAACTTCAATGGACAAGTTTAAAGCCCTATACATTCTTTTTAACCCTGATTTTGCTCTGTATCTGGTTTTTAGCGCCCTCTTCCCATCTTGTTTTGTCGGACGATAAATTCGTAATCCTAGATTTTTGGCTCCTCTTGTTGATGCACAACTTTTGAGCGCTTTCATAACGCCACTTGAGCGTTCATCTGCGAGCCTATTTTTGACATGTCTTTAATTTGTTAGATTAATCAAAATTAACATTTTCCAGGGTCAGGCCTTTGGATATTTTTGAAAAATTGAAAAATATGGTTGCTTTGCGCAATCCGTTGCGTCGCAAAGCCCAAAAAGATCCTAAAAACGAGGCTTTTTAGGTATTTTGTTAATTGGCTTAATCCCTGCCAGCTTTGGCGAGTCGCCAGATTTTCTGGATGGTGGATTCTTTTCACTATCTGCATCCGGGCGCAAAATATTTGACTCGTGGCCAAGACGTCCTTTCTTGAACTTATTCATGTTGCTCAGGTACTAAAAAACCGGTTCAAAAAGGTTCATGACTGATAAAGCTTTTTGAAAGACTTTTTAAAGGTTATGCGGAAGCGACGTCAAAAAGACGTAAAGCCTCTAGCGGCGAGCTCATAGGGGTTTACGTGGCACACTTTAACTTTTAAGAAGTATTTTACTGTTAACCCCTAGCAAATTTCACACCTGATCCCGATCCCTAAAACCTCACTGCCAGCCATCAAATCCCGAGGCTGTTGTCGTACACCCGTGGCTCAGAGGGATGTCGGTGCCACCCATGTTATGCCCCCCCCGTGATATCAATATTTGCTGCCGCGAAAAAAGCGAAACCCCCGGCACGCGCGCCCGTCTATGACTAAATCTACCGTATTTCGGGTATGGAGGAAGGGGACGGAGGGGGGAGGTTCGTCGAAATATATTGCTCACCCCGAAAAAGACGGGTTTATCGCCCCGAAAACAGGGGAATGGAGGTTCGGTGAAAAAATCCAATAACATAAGCTGTTTGGGTAATCGATCATTTATGATATATTAAATTGAATTAAAAAGTTAGGCGTATTTTTGATGGCTTAAAAAATTTTTTACTTCTAAGTAAACCTGGCCCACGGAAATTTACTTTAGGACAACATTGATTTTTTTCTTGCTAAATTATTTAAAAGCTAAAACTGCTCTACTAATTACTCCCAAAATCTTCAAGCTTCATAAAGCTTTATCTAGCTAGCTAAGACTACGATGACCAATCGAGTCACACTCCCGAAAAACATGTCCACCTGATCGGGCTCGGGACTCCTACGCGACAGCAAGGCCCACGGAAAAACGGTGTCGACCTCGGGAATCGGAAAAACAGGGCGAGAAAGGGAGGGAGAGAGTGAGAGAGTGGGAAGGATAGAAAAAGAAACTGTAAGTGCCCAACCGGCCGTGAATAAGTCCCCTGCTACTTCTTATATGCTTATGGCGACGGGGCGTGTGAGTGTGGGGGCCTACTGTTTATCGCAGTTCTCAGGCACTGTTTCAAAACAGTCTGGAATACATAGGGCCCCAGAAATTGCCCAAAATATCAACTTTACCGTAGCCCTTTCCCTCCAGAGATAATGCCGCGCTGGCGACAAGCAGCGCATGAGGCGATTTGACGCCGTAATGGAGCCCTCAGGCCCTACGCAGCGTAAAACGGGCGCGTTGCTTATCGCGAACGCGGTAAAATCCATCTACAGCCGGCAGAGGCTAAGACTGTACGCAGGGTAAGGGCTAACGAGCGTGTTACGCGTTGCGTGATTCGGGCGCGGTGAGCTCCATAGATAGGAGATAGCCAAAACGATCCATAGTGTTAAGTTGCCTGTCCCTTTAAAGGGACGGTAGCAGCGATAATTTATTCAACTGCTTTTCCTCCCAACCCCCCACCTCCACTTCCCACCAAATTCCGTTGCACACCTCCACCCGCCCTCCTACGTCTGTGAATGAATTTGCGTGAGCGTTGGGGTCCGAGTGGCCGTGGACCTCCCTGCCCCCAGCTCGTGCCCTCCTCCCCTCCAGGCCACTCCATTGTTCCGCGCTGCTGGATTCCCGTCGGGTCCAAAAAAGCTCCCGGGCCAAGTCGGCAGGTAGCTAGGTTGTGCGATGGAGGGCGAGCTCGATTTGGGAGGCCGTAATTAAGGGAGTGTAGTGTAGTGGATGCCGATGGGGAGTATGATTCAAAAACGGGATTCAAATATTGTACCATAGCAGAGATAGCGAAAGAATGGGATTCCGCAAGGAACTCTGCTAGTTCGTCTTCTATCAGCATTTATTTATGAGCCAAAAATAAAGTTTTGAATTTTCAAACATTTCTGAACGAGCTTTGCTAGACTGTCTAGATCCAATTTTTTTTCCTTGATGTTCTCTGCTAGCTGCGAATTTCCCTAAAGATTTTTGCTCAAGGCTCTACCCTCTCAAAACAAGGAAAAATTACTAATTTTTATGATTTCGCGCTTAATAACCTTCTAAATCGGGTGACATTTTCCCTAGAGATCTCTGCGGTCTGCCATGATTTTAAACTCCGGTTTTTTTCAGGTCCTTAATAATCTTTGCTAGCTGGCCTCATACCTCATTAGCCCGGGCTAAAATTTCCTCAATGTTCTCCGCTAGCACGCCTTTTTCTCCGATTGAGCACTCAATTTTAATTTTCTTAAGTCGGCGTCGTAAATTCTAAAACAACCCCAATTTCCCAAATGATCTCGACAAGCTCACCCTCCTGCGATATCTAAATTTACC